ACAACAGAAACAACACTGGAGCTGTCCACTCTGTACTGCTCACAGCTTAATGTACAGTCACTTCACCCCACAGCTCAATAGGTGAAGTGGCACGTGGGGGAGTCTGACGGAGGGAAAACATCGTTAGGGGCAGAATAGGCTGGATGAATGTGGGAAAAGGTTTAAAAGAATTGATCTGAACATCTAGTCACTGGATAACACTTCTTCCCACCTGGGATTCTTCTTCCACAACTGTCATTCAACTCTCAGGTTCTGCCGTCTGACTGACACACACACACTCGTGCTCAGGCTTTGATGAAAGCACAGATGGATTTAAATGGAGAAGAAAATACTTAGGAGATGTAAGAAAATGGAGCACACAGAAGTGTGAGGGATCAAAGGTCACGGAGACCGACTGCAAACAGTCCAAGCTCTAATCCCCTTCTCAACCGTGTTGATACCGAGACTAGTTAGTCTCTGACTGAGCAACTATGTCTTCAACACGGCAAGCTCTTCTCCAACGTCCCCACAGACTTGTTAGAGATTCCCAGCCCACTCCCAGAACAGATGCCCACCATGAAAAAACCAACTCAACATTCCTCTTTAAATCGGTGTTCCTCCTCTTGTATCTATACCCATGTTCCATTTCAGCACCACGTCTGCTGTCTAGGGAAAGGTGAAGATGTAGAGATGAAAGGAAATGAACAGTTTTCACCAGGAATTCCTGGAATCCTGTAAAGTCTTTCAAATCCCCCCAGGGAAACCTTTTCTGCCTGTTTTACTAACCCGTGTTCACAGTCTGATCACTGATATTTGCCATTGTAAGCTTCCTACTTCACTTTAAAACAGTAACAAGAGAAGATCCTTGGATGGTTGCTATGGGACAGATGCATTGTGGGATGGAGATTTACTGCACTTGTAAATCCTTATTAAACGCATAAAAACACAGGAATCCTCGGTTTGAACTCTTCTTGTTTGCTACTGCCAACGTGCTTTGTTGCTCTATTCTAAGAACAACCTTGAGACGCTGTAATAATACCTGTGAATCATCTTTTATGCTGAAATGTTTCCCTCTGTTTCTGTGAAAATCTATAAAAAAAAAACCTCAAAAACCCTGAGCTGATGTCAGAATGGAGTAAATAATGTTGTTTTTATTGATGAATTTACTTTTAGTTGTTGTATTTTAATTTATCATTAGAAAAACTACAAGAATTGGACATTCAGTACAAGTACACAGGTATACAGTATAGCATACTGTAAACTTTGGTCAGCTGACCCCACTGTGCTTTAATTATGCACAATTAAACGTGTTAAAAAAACCTAACCAGCCTTTTTCATTTCTTTTTAAACATTTTTTTAAATAGGAGCCGAATTATGACAGATGATCATCAGAAACACCTGCAGAAGACCAGGAGCAGAGAGGTGAGGTTGACAAATCTATGGAGATGCTGTGTGTGTGTGTGTGTGTGCTATGCAGTATGTGTGTGTGTGTGTGTCTGTTGGGATTAGTCCAACCTAATCCAGCACAATTACAGCAAAACACCACTGACCCAGGAAAACAGGGAAGGAGGAACTGCATTTAAATTAGACACTCACTCTGCTCACAGACACCTAATGTTCCCTAACACACACACACACACTGATACACACACACACTGATACACACACATTGTTTATGTGTTCTGTGGTAACTCCCCAGTTATATGCATCAATGCATTCCCTGATAGTTTTACCAAAATCAACATCTAAAAAAGGCATTAATTTGTACAATTTATCACAGAAAAATAGTATAAAAAGTATAAAAAATGCAAAGACAATCAGTCTCTACTTTGACATCGACATGTATTAACAAAAAAAAGAAAACATCCATCCATCCATTTTCATCCATTTATACGTTATTCGTTGCTGGGAAGAAAGAAAACAATCGAACTCAAAATGATTCATAACAGGCAAAAAAATGTGCAGCAAATGAATTAAAGAAGGCAGAAACTCTGTGCCAGGGAATACCCCCCCCCCCCACCAACTCTCCTGCTGTACTGGAACCACTTTAAAAGATTTAATGGAATAGGAGATTCATTTAGTCTTTTTTTTAGTGGTAATCCTAATGGTAAGATAACCCCAGAGCAGCAGGACTAAGTGGGAGGGATTAATTAGAATTAATTGAATTATACTGTTAGAGAATGGCAATCAGATAAAGTATGAAATGAAAATGAAATTGACTCAGGAGGAAGAGACACACAGAGAGGGGGGAGGGGTGACAGAGAGAGGGGGAGAGTAAAATTAATTTTTATAATTGCTCTGAAGAGAAAATAATTTATATTATTTGTACTCCTAGTTTTAAAGGGTTTCATTTTACAATACACCCGCTGACATCTGCTGATTCAGTAAAAATGTAAGAAATATGTCACAGTCTCTTGTGATCATTCCCTCCAAATTATCCAAAGGTGTGAATGTTGGTGTGAATGAGTTTTTCATTTTCATTCATGGCCCTGGGATGGTTGACTGGTTGACTGTACCTTCTCCTCACCTGAACACTGCTGCGATTGACTGCATTCTCACCCCCTCACTGCCCCAGTGATGGAGTGATGGAGAAGGGTGGAGGGCATTAATTATCATACATATCAATTATGCGTGTGATTTAATAACATTGCTTGTGTCTAATGATGGTTCATATTATGCTTCAGTTAGATTACATTTGATTGGCAAGACTTTAGTTTGAAATGTGATGTTTTCTAGGTACAATCTGTTACTTAGATAGAATAGAATAGAATAGAATGGGACAGTGCAGAGAACCACAATTCTGTTTCAACTAATAAAGATCAGGAGAAATGTAAAATCTAAACTGGAGCTGATACTGATGGAGAACTGAGTTACTGTATATATAATGAGAGACGATAGAAAATGCAGCAATGACATCACTGTTAATGATGTAAAAGCCCTAATGCATCACAGTGGGCATAAATCTGTTACAGCTAATGGTGAGACTCCTGATGTTCTTGTTTTCATGGCACAGATTCATCAATTCACCTGACAACAGCGGACTCCCATCATTAGGAACCGGGAGTTTTGTATTTTGCTGGATCAACACATCTGAGACAGCGGTGTCTGCCAGCTGCTCTCGCTCCATCACATCTGGACGGACAGGCGGCTACTTCTCATCTGCTCTCTCGCTCTGCAGCTCAGTGGGAGCTAATTAGGAAATGGTCCAGATAGACACCTTGTCCAGATAGACACCTTGTCCAGATAGACGCCTTCTTTATACACCGTTCCACCCACTATCACACACATTGTACAGTGAATACAGGAGCACGTTTCTGGTCAACATTAAAACTCGTCCTACTTTGCAGACATCTTCCTTCACTCTTCCAAGACTTCAGTCTTCCTCTCATCTCCTCACTGTGCCAGGTCTTTTCAAACTTCATTTCTCCAGTGTCCTCACCTCTATCATCACCGTGCTCATTACTAGACACAGGCCGCTGCCCCCGGTTAGAATGAGTTCTTATTACTTTGACTCTAATGTATAAATTAGCAATTTGGCCGCATGCTAATTAGGCCAGAAGTGGATCAAAATATTTGAAGGTGATAACCGTGGAACAAAAAACATATACAAATATGTGAGAAAAAAGAAAACATCAGACCTGTACTAGTACTCAGTACTTAGTGGTATTCAGTATTAAGTAGACATCTACAGAGGAATCCCTCGTGAGTACTTCAGAAGTTACTAAGCCCAGTGATGGTTCCTGGCTGGATATGACGCTGCATAATGTACAATGTTCTTAATAAAACATCTGTCCTGATAAAATCTCTACTGATCTTCGCTGGTCATAAAAAACTCCAGGTTCTACTTCAGCCTCTGCAGCAGAACTCATCTATATTTCAACAGGGCACTGATGAGAACTCCGTGGTCTCATCCCAGTCAGAATACAGAAGGTCCACTTTACTGTGGACACAAACCTCCTCCTGGTCTCTCAATGTCTCGGGGACAAAAAGGCCCAGAGTAGAAAACAAAAGGAAAAATATGTAACTGCAGTCCATTTAATTCTTTTCTCAGAAGAAACACACCCAAGTTTAACTTTGCAAACTTTGCAAACTTTTTTTGGATAAGCAACAAAAGGTGAGCCACAACTGAGGACGTGGCAGCTAACCCACTGATTTACTTTGAGCCTGGGGACAGTTTCCTGTTGAGTTCTCAGGGTTTCATGTTAAATTGGTGATGACACTTTGGTCAGTCACTGCTCCATCAACGTTCTCTTTGTTTAACAGAACTCTGTCTCCTGACTCCCTGTCCTTCAGGTCCTCACAGAGTGGATCTAGCTGATACTGACGAGGCTGATCAACTTAAATATCAGTGCAGTTCCTCAGTAACAGTTGGTAGGACGGTTGGTTCATCCTTTTTTTGCACTCTACAATGCTGATGCTGTTTTTCATTCAAATAAAGAGTGTGTTGACCTGTGTACTGAAGCTCCATCCCTGAGAAACAGTGAATTTGATGAACTGTAGGAAATTAAACTGGAAGGTAGAAGAAAAAGAGGAAGAAGCCGGAGAGGATTTATAGACACGGTGAAAATGAACTGCAATGTCTCACAGTTATTCACATGTGGTGTCTAATGAAGTTTGTCACAGGAGAGAGAATGAGGGAAGGAAAGGGTTAATCATTCAGACTTCACCTAAAACCCAAGACCATGAAACCACAAACATACATGAAACTTCAGTGCCTTTAACGCTGACTCATTCTGACAGCTGTCCACTTCTGAGCTGCCAGTCTGTCAGGACTACAAAGAAACACACACACACACTGCAGAGCCAGTAGGCAGTGAGGTGTTAGACTGGAGTTTTAAAGTCAAAGAGAAAAAATGAGGTACCAATGGTACCGATGCTCCACTACATCAGTCACATCAGTGCTGGAACTCTACATCGTTGCTTTGGGGCCCGTGACACATTTGTTCTGGTGACAAACTTGTCAAAATGATGAATCACTCTTTCGGACAAACGTATGTGTGCACACACGTGCAGATACTTGCCTTATACGGTATGAAGAGTGAATTAACTGCTGATAGGAGGCTCTTGGTGTCTGCGGCGTCCCTGTGGCCACAGATCACGATCTAAAACAAATAAGATGAGAAGAAAAGGAGAATAAAGGTGGATGAAGATACTTAACAAGATGAACGTAAGAGGAGACATAAAGGAGCAGATGTGGAGAGGAGTCGATACAGTTCAACAATAATAATAATAAGGGAGGCAGGTGTTCTCCCCGGCACTGGGGCACCTCCCCTGACCCCTGGAGCTCGTTACCCCCTTGTCCCATCGCCAGTCTCGTCCTCCGCAGGTCACACATGACAGGCAGACAGACATAACTATTTCCCACCCTGACGTCTGTCTCCAAGCCGCCTCTGCTCTACTTCAACAAAGTTTTTCCTGGGGTGACTAACATACTTTGAGGCCAATGTCTGTGCTTTGGAGAATTAAAAATGTGAATATTCCAGTCCAGATTATGTAAGTGAAGCTAAAAGGGGCCATTAAGAGCGTGGCTGCTGAAAAACAAGTGGGGAAGAAAAGAGTCTGAGAGTCAATTTGCTCAGGGATTAAGAGCGTTATGTGCTCGGAGAGTGTCCTCCCACGGCCTGATCTACTTTACTTACTTTTATTACTTATCTACTGTACTTGAAGTCTTTGGCCTGGTGTCTAACGGTGTCTGCATCAATTTCAATACAAAAAATGGTAACCTTATCTGAACATTTGTTTGCCCTTCCATAGATGCCCTTTATTTTTTGCTTATAATAGCTACTTGCTAACCATATTTTATTTAAATAGTATTTTATTTAATTTTACTCTTTTTTAAATGATTAATATTTATATTTTTGTAAATTTGATCGAATTTTAATCATGCTTTAGTAATTATTCTGCTTCTTATATTATCTTATTTTGCTACCTGTTAGTTACTAACTGTTAGGCTAACTCATTCCTATGTCCTTGATGTAGTTGTTAGGCCATTTCCATCCACCCATCATCCTCCACTTATCCCGGGTGTAACAGTGGGAGCAGGGACGCCCAGACTTCCCTCTCTCCAGACCCTTCCTCCAGTTCTTCTGGGGGGATCCTGAGGCGTTCCCAGGCCAGCCGAGCGACATGTCCTGGGTCTCCTCCCAGTGGCGCACGACCCGAGCACCTCCCGAGGGTATACAATGTTGTTAGGCTATCTAGGATTTCTAAATTAATCATTTGAATACTGTATGCCTCAATAAAACATGTCTCATACATCTTCTGGCTAATGTTATATTATTATAATTCAGAACCATCAGGACTTTGCAGAAAAAGCTTGAGAAAAATAGCAGTATCAAAATATAAAACTGATTGAAATATGTACTGTAAAAACCAGAGAGACAAAACAAATCATCAACATGCAGCCCAGTGATTTTTAGCCGTGTTCATGGAGGAGCTGAGTCGGCACAGTCAGTGTGGGCACGTTCTTTGTTTCACCAGCTTCTTCCTCAGCCTTTGTTGAGCTGCTGCTGTGTATTGTTTTTTTTCTTCTTTTGGTTCACGTCTTGTTGGTAAACATATTGTTCTTCCACAGTTTGTCAGAGAAGCAGAAACGCTGGCTCTCAGTGGGCGGACAAGGAAATTACTTTCAGCTAACGGTCAGGTAAACACGCCCACTGATTCCCTCCAGGGCCCTGCTTTAAAAGTCAGTGCTTAACTGTGATGGTGGCTGGATGTTACAGTGGAGCACACATTCAAGTGCCTCTGTTTGATATTTTTATACCTTACACTGCTGATGCTCCCTCAGTACTGCTGTGTTGTACTGTTATAATGAACCCATCACAGATGCACATAAGGATCATTTAACGCTGGTGTTTACCTGCTTCAGGGTGTAGTGCTGAGCCATCAGAGAGCGAACCATTTCAGGCAGGGCGATGGGAATCTTGGTGAGGCGCTCAGAGAAAGCTGTTAGCAGTTTCTGGGACTTCTGAAGCCACTCCTGTCTCCCAGTGTAGTGAGAGAGACGCTGTAGATTGGAGGCCGACACAGAGTTAGCGCTGGGCTCTGCTCCATCCTGATCTGGAAGAGGAGGACAAAGGGAGATTCTATGAACCGGGGGATGTTTGTAAGTTGATCACACACACAGGTCAAGCAGACTTAGAGTGGCCAAGGACATAAGACCTGTAGTAAAATCCATTTAAGCTGTACAGTACTAGCCAAAAGGTGAAGCTTCTCGTGCTGTGACTTGTATGTAATGACCATGTGGTTCTTCCAACTCCTGTTGGTCAAAGTAAAGTCCATGTGACCAGATTTTGATACAAATATAAAATATAAAAATAATACAAAATATTACTTTACAGTAAAAAGACACCAGACACAGTTACCACAAAGCAAAGTGTGTTCTCCAAGAGTGAAAAATGACAAGTTAAACCTCCAGATATCCCAGTGTGTACTTGGCTTATTGGATATTTGGAGGAAGTGACAGCCCCACTGCTGGATGATGAAGCTCCAAACATCAGCACCTTCAATATAGTTCCCATCAAAAAAATAAATAAAATAAAACACCATGTAGTTTTACAATATATCACAGTCACACACTTGACACAACAGTTTTATGGTTTCATTCCAGTCAGGAACACAGTGTTCAAAGACACTGAATCACACTCCACTTTACATCTGCTGCAAACTGCACACAGTGATAACCATCTGAGTCCACACTACAAAGAGTAGTGGAGATAGAAATGTTAGCACAGTGATAAATACATGGTTCATGTGGAGGAGGAGGGCTCCGTGCTGTAGAACATCTGTTCTCTCTGGAGACACCAGTAATGGATCAAAATAAAAATCTGCTACAAGAACACGACGACCATAAGAGCTAACAGTTCAACATACACACTCTGGTCTGCTGGAGCCACTCATCCAGACCAAACTAAGGCTTCTGACGTGTGGGATGACGTGATGAGATAGGACTAGAGGGCGACCTCATGACTCAGACCTGTTTGGTGATTGGTCCTTATCTCTTATCAGTGTCCAGTGAGAGCCTGGAGGTGATCTTCTCATGACCTACGACCTTGTTACAAATCGCCTGCTCAATATTACTCTGACCACTCCAACTGAATGTGCGCGTGTATATGTTACTTGTTTTTCTACACTTGTATGGATAAACAAATGAAGGCTCATCTTAGGACACTTGATCCTTTTATCAGGATGGGGGAGGTCGGTGTGAAATTTTCTTATAACATTAAAAAGTGAATGAGAAAAAATGTGCAAAATGTGAAACTAAAAGTGTGTGTATATATATATATTTATATTTATATTTATATTTATATATATATATATCGCTCCTACAGTAAACACACAGGGGTGTAAGTGTTGTAGAGAGTGACACCATGGAGGGGTAATTCATCTTGCAGTGACAGGTCCTCGTCGCTGAGACGGTAACACGCTCTCCAACGGCTGTAGCGTCACTAATGGGCTTCCAGCCTGCACAGCAGAGCAGCCATAATGGCACAGTCAATCCTCCATGATGAGAAACCTCTTACACATCAGCTCCAATAAACACACTGACGCAGGTGTGATGGCCAGGGAGGCATTCCCAAACACACACACCCATCATCTCTGATCTGTCAACGGTTCTTAACAAGAATAACTATTAGCTTTTTTCACTGTCACCCTCTCCCACCTGAGGGAACCTTGTTCCAGGCTCTCACGCACACTCTGAGTAGAATTCTAAACTTAGTTTGGAAAAGTAGAGTTTTTACACCTGAAACATGAAACTGATTTACATCAAACAAAGTAACAATTGCTGGATTCTACAGTCATTTTACAACATCTAATCACTGTTCATATGAATGTGCATGGAAATGACCACAGAATGATAAAAACTAACACTGAAAAAAAAAACACTGATCAATCAAATAGTTAAAGTGTAAACCAATCCTACAACTACTATGTCGGTCACTGACAGCTACTGCAGCTACAGTGCAGATACTGATACACTCTACAAACTCGTCACTCCCTAAAGCGTTGCTGCAGGCAGAACTCTGTCTCAGTCGCAGCAAGATTTCAGTATTTTGTTTAATTTGCTGGAAAACAACGGGAATTGAACTCCTGTGGGAAATAAGAGCAGCAGGAAAGACTGACATTACCATACAGAGCAGTCTGTACTGTTACATCCTGAGGGCAGACCTCAGCTCAAAGACCGGAGGTGGAGTTGATCGCCATTGCTACAATCTGTCAGGACGGAGACGAGCCAACGAAGAATCATTTGACAGGTGTGGTGATCTAAGCAGCCAGAGATTCAGACTTTGATTTATTTTTTTAACACGGTGTGAGGAGGTGAATGAGGGCTGTGAGGAGCTGGAGTCAATAAACCTCGCTTCACCTCCATCATCCATCCATCCCACCTCGCCCTCTTTTCATCCAGCTGTTTGACTGTTACCAGAGTGGGGGCGACTTCACAGCAGGAGTTTGCATCTTGTTAAGCCCCAGATCAATCAGTGAGATGAAGGAAAAGAATACCCAGTGGTGGCAGTGGTGAGGCAGACAGATGACTGGATGGATGAATTACTGAACACAACAACATCCATTAACACTCTTGATGGTGGGGTGGACTGCAGCCGTTCACTGCTGATTCTCTTGTTTCCTACAAATCAATGAGTGTCCAGTGACAGAGGTGAGCAGATATTAGCCCACTGTCTGTCATCACTCATCTGTCTGAGTGCTGACCATGCAGCTCCAACACTGGGCTCAATTCTCCAGCACTTTGCATTGATAACTATCCTACTCTGTAGTGCAGTCCTCTGAGCTTTGAACAGTAACATTACTGCCACCTGTAGGATAACATGTCACAAGCATGTATCCGTGAGGCTGCACTTTAACAACATTTTTTCAATAATTTATTCATCATCTTGCAGTTTCAGGTAACTCTATGCAATGTTGCTACTGCTAAGAACTGTCACTGAATTCAAAGTTTACTCAGGATGAGAGTGGAAACCTCCATCAGAAAATGCTCTGTTCTATATTTGTTCTCTGGCACTTTCCCTCTCTCATTATGTTCCACTGATTGTGTCTGTCACAAAAATGGCCAAGAAGCCAAATGTTGTATTTTGGCATTAGGTTGAGTGATGTAGAAATAATGTGTGTCGTTTCATTTCCTTGATGACTGATCTCATTGGTTTTACAGGAACATTTAGAAGGAGACTTGTGATGAGATGACAAATGAGAGTGTTACTTCATTATCCCTCACCCTCTTTCAGCTGCAGCAGCACTGTGCTGTCACTGGGGTCGCTGCAGAAGTAACCCCCGCCCTGATGGTCCCAGAACAGCTCGTCCTGATGGAGCTGCAACTCCTCGGCCCACTGGAGCCAGGCCGTCTGCAGCGTGGCCTCGTACAGGTCCAACAGGCCGCGGATGACGAACGCATAGTCGTCCAGGAAGCCAGAGATTGTTGGCGAGCTGAGGAGGAGATCATTTAAAAAAAAAGATAGAAAGGAAGAAATTTGTGAAAAAAAAAGCTTGAATGAAGTTCCAGATAATTGTGAATCAGTTTAGGCGTTTTCTGAGCATCTAGTACAAGCTAATGAGGCCTGAAACGGAAAAAAATTCAAGCTGTTTCCTACAAATCCCAGAAGAATTGATTTTATGGTGAGACTGCAAAGAACCACGTCTCCCTTTAACAATTTTCTCAGTGTGAAATAGCTTATCTGTCCAAGAGCCGACTCCAAACCATGAATCTACTTTTCATTCATTTCTTTTACAAAATCCTTCTTTTTAGAATGTAGTGCAGTTGTGCCTGTTCACACTGGGAAAAGAGGGGGTAAAAGTTCAAGTCGGAAGGTTAAAGCCTAATATGTAGTGACAGTTAAATTCAGCAGAGGGCACTTTTAGAAAAACAAACAGATTAAAATTAAATTAATTCAATCCAAATATTAATGCAGATATTTATCCAGGGAGCTGACAGGAATTGTTCTGGGAAACATCTACATCACTTCCACTTTCACAGACCACTTCAGAGGAACAACAATAATAATGCACTTTGGCTTTACTGCAGCCCTGGAAGCAGCTGCTGTGGTGTGTAATTGCATTGAATATCACTGAAGTAAAACACGCTACTTCAGTCATGATAAAACTCCACTGTTGTCCATATTTCACCATGATCCCACAGTACTTTCCACTTTCTACAGTGGCACCTCGACATGGGTGAGTGCCAGGGACAGATGGTGACAGGAAGTCACATAGCACTGTACCGGGGGAGTGGGGTTGGAGGGGGCACTGCTGCTGGTGAAGAGGGTGAAAGAGGAGAAAGCTTTGGAGGTGAAGTGTACGGAAAGTTCATGAGGAGGTGAGGAGTCGTATCTGGAATTATCTGGCCCAGACAAACTGGGCTGGAAGAGTCATTAGATGAAAGCAGACGCCAAAGCAGGAACAGTGTTGAGAACTGACATTAATCTGTAAATCCACAGTCGGTTCTCTCACAACAGCCTTCAGATTTTCATAACATGGATCTTGGTCAACTCTAAAGCTGACAATATATGAAATACAAGTGTCTGAGAAAAAAGTTCTAACAAGAAAAAAAACATGTCACCAAAGCTGAGACGCTGTACTTAATTCTAGGAGTTATTAATTAATGTTATTTAATTCTATTAATAATGACGTAATAGCGGGTTAGGACATTGTATAATCTTTAAACCCACGACGTCGATGTAATAAATCATCACATATCACTTCTCATATCAATGTTTAATTGACTTTCATACAAGTCCACTCTGCAGCCAATGAAATTGCCCCCTGGTGGTTGGCTCATGCTCTAATTGCTGGGCTTCAATTCTCTATTCAATTTCATTTTTATATTTTCATCCAGAGAAAACTCTTGGTTTCTAAGCTTGATATCATCTGGTTTCAGCCTAAAGGACTTGCAGAGTCACTTCACCATAACACAAAACAAAAACAAAAAACCCAGAACTCTGCTGCAGAAACTCCACAGCCTCTTCATTCACACCTTTAATGGTGTGGGTTAAATGAGCTGATTTCCCCTTAGAGCTGAGATAAAGCCTCCACCATTACTGCACTTGTGGACACTTCTACAATAATAGCACCATTATAGTGTCAGTACAACAGATACTTCACTTCTCCATTAATAAGCCCTCAGAGATACAGCCCTATTGGCTTGATATGACTTCCATTACCACAGGAAGCACCATCACTTGTACTACTGCACAGACCTTTAGGATGAAAAATATTACAATAGAAGTGACTGTGCTGCACCACGTACACACAGTAGTACTACACAGGTCTGTACTCTGCACAGAAAAGTCTTTCTTTGGTGGCCCAGCTTCAGATTATCATACTAGATCAGGCTTGTCCACACTTTTTCAGATTGGGAGCTACTTTTCAAATGACCGGGGTAAAGTGATCTACCTACATTGAAAACTATAAATATATATTTTATGTTTTCTGTTCTGTTCATTTGAATGTGATAGTGTAATATTTATGGCAGGCAGTCAAAATACGGGTCTGGTAATATTCAGTGTTTCTCACTGTGATAGAGAAGGACATTCTAGCGTGTGTCTGCCAGGAGAACTCATGACCTCCTGAACCCTAGAACGTGGTGTAATTCAAAACACATTAAAAAAAACAAAACTGAAAAAAAAAAAACCCACCCTGGAACTCCACTTCCTCTTCTCTTTAGTGCTGATTATAGCTTATCCCCTGTGACAGTTAGAAAAACATTGGGCCTTTCACTTGTTGGTAACCTTTAAATAACATAAATAGGCCCAGGTCTGAAAACCACAGGCACAGAAGGAAAGTTTGAAACACAAATATTTGGCTTTAATATTATGTTTTTTTTTAAATATACGTTGGCAGTAACACAGAAAAGCGAATATTTATTTTTCTTGTTTCTTTTTTAATGGATGTTTCCAGAGGATAATTATATTTTTGGTTTAAAAGGAAAATTTGGATTTCACCTAAGACAAGATCAAGTAAATGTTTGTGTAAAGAGAAATCCTAAAGGCTGTTTGTGTTCATCTGTCTGCTACAGCTTTTGTCACCTTTATTCAAATAAATTAAACTGTTTAAATATTATATTTAATCTTTTGTATAAATCGTATTAACACTCCAACACATTTTCTGTCTCCGTCCACAGTGAGACGTTCAATCACACATGACCAGGTGAGAGCTGGGGCAGGGAGGGTGTGTGTGTGTGTGTGTGTGTGTGTGTGTGTGTGTCAGACAATTAACCCAGTTAGTCTCTGCAACCATACCATTAACCATCTGACGCCCTGCACCCGCCATCCCTCCTGCTTCATAAGTGGGGAACCATATGTGCCTGGAACGACAGAGTGATTTAAGCCACACTTGGAAAGTAAACCAGGTTTGGGGGGTAAAAAGTGCTTCGGTAAGCGTTCTCTCTGCCGACACCACCCTGGTGTGGACCATTATGAATGAGAGCCAGGCTGTGGAACCAGGCCACAGTGTTTAGGAACAAGTGTGTTGTTTGCTCCGGCTTGTGTTTTCTAAAGCACAGTAGATGCATTTTATCTTGTATTTTCTGTGGTCCATGTAGGATTGTGGGTTGTTTTATTTTAATGCTGATTCAGGAGCTATTCACACTCATTCATAGTAACTAGGGCACAGCGTGGGCCAACAGAACCAGGACACCTGTGCAGCAACAAATGTCTCCCACTGATGCCACAGGTGTCGGCTCTGCTGAGAATTCAGCACCGACAGTTTAAAGTTACTTTAGCCTCAGAGATACCAGACCACTGACCTATACATACACCATGGTTATGTCACTGCATTACAACATGTCCATTACTACAGTAAGACTCTTTTCTTGGACACACTGTAGTGGACATTTTATGCCTCATGTTCAGTGTGACTCCCTGTTAGCTTTTGTTCATTTTACAAACAATTACAACATTTCTCTGGTTTATGTTTTCTGGCTTTGGCTATTTTGTTAGTTTAAACTCACTGTAGCTTTTTAAGCAGAATAGTGCATTGGCAAAACATGCCAATCACAGCGCAGCAGCTCTGCTGTCACCTGGTGAGTCGCAGAGAACCGGACAGGTCAGAATTGGAAAGGAATTTGCATTTGAACTTTTAACATTGTACTGGAGTCAGTGTCACTGAGTTAATGAGATGATGCAACAAAAAAAAAAGATTTTTTTCAACAACGTATTAATGGGCTTACTGCTCAAGCTTTAGACCAGCCTGGCCTGCCTTTAAAAATAGTGCTTTTATGGCTCATCACCAAGGATAAAGTACTTCAGAGTTCTCCAGTGAAGCCCCAGAGATACTTCAGTCCTAACAGGAACTGGGCAGGATTAACAGTGAGGTTTAGCTCGACCAGAGAATAACGTTACAGTGATCTGTTGGTGAAGCTCTCTTACATGTGCTGCACCTCCATCTGGTCTCCACGATAACAGGATCGAATGACGGTCCGGCTCTCCCCGTCCCACATGTGCTCCTTCAGGAAGGTGCCGACCTTCAGCGCCCTCTCCAGCAGGGCCCCGTCCTGTAAAACGGCACCGACGCGTGCGTAGGCTGAGAGCATCAGACCTGAGGACGAGGAGGAAGAAGCAGGGGAGGTGATGTTGGTCAACGTGGAGATGTTGGGGGTTTGAAACAACTTGACACACAAAACATAACCTTCATGGTCTTTAAAGAGTTTGTGAAGACTGCTCACAGACTGTTCACAGCAGATGTTTGGACACAGACTGAAGGACCAGTCATTTGACATCTGAGTTTGATGATGACTGGTTGACAGTGTTTCCAAACCAACTAAATTCAACTAGACGCATCCAACGTGAGCGTTCCTGTGGTCCAGGTTCTCACCGTTCTCCACTTCCTGTTATCTTCAGTTCTATTTACCAGATTCAACAACATGTTGGAGTGACTGCTGCTGCTCAGGTCAGGTCGGCCGGTCTCACACACTAACAGACTTCTGTGCCAGACACTGATGCTGACTGTGGCCAACTAGGAATTGTGGGTCAAATCTGGGGGGAAAAATCTTGCAGTATGTTTTCAGCTTTAGTCAAGGCTTCTTTTTGTTTTCCCACCATGATCCTCCATCCGCTGCTTCTCTCCTTTTTTTGAAGAGATGAATAAAAAGCTGGTAAAGGAAACAGCCTCGTCTTCAGAGTGCTGTGGCCGAGGACAGGAGGTGACTCATGGAGAAGGTTCTTCATTCGAGGCAGGAGGAGAGCAGAGGAGTCTAATTGGAACACTCTCCTCACAGAGCCTCATTACCTCAGTTAAACACTGTCCTGGGACGGGGGAAAGAGATTTGTGTATTTGTGTGAGTGTTTTTTTCTGTTCTTGTGTCTAAACATGTTGACAAAACTATTTTGCTGAGTGGCTTTGCATTAATGTAAGTGACATCTGGTGTCTGCGTAATGATCTGCACTCATTCTCAGGAAACATAAATATGTGTTTAAATCTGTGGAGTACAAGACAAGTTTATTATGTCATTGTTATAAAATGATACAGTCAGAAAGATAAGCAAGAAATTTGGATAATAATATTGCTCATTTTGACTTTTAGTTAAAATTTCAATTAATAGTTTTAACTTTTACAATAAACAAGAATTAATCTCACATCTGTCTATTAATCTAATAAATCTGATTTGACATCCCATAATAAATGTGTTGTCATATTTCCATTTTTCATATTGTGATTAGGATGTTTTATCTGACATTTTTATTTTCATAATTAATTCTAAAAACCTATTTTAATTCACTACCATGACATGTTTCTTTCTCATATCAATGACTTTTTGAAATGAATTTTAACCCAGTATTTTACCTGATGGAGTAACTTTTTGTATTTATTTATTTTTCATTATTACTTTTTTTTATTCTGATATTTTCAGGTAGAGACTTTTCATGTGCACCATTTCAAAAAGTTACTTTAAATGTACTATTATTGACTAATTTTATTTTATTTTTATTTGGAATGGAAACCTTTTCAGATAACAGGAAGACAAAAGTCTTATTTCTTACTGAAATAAAACCTGGGCTGGGAAATAGTTGGAAAGAGACAAAGTGAAGGTTTTCCAAGGTTCACTCATGTTTTGTGTCGTCTTTAATCACCGTCTTTCTTTGGCTGTTTTGGTTTCCTGCGTCAACAGGATTCTTGTGTTTTGCAATGTCGACCTGTCTGCGTCACTGGAAAAAGTTTTTCTTCCTCTTGTTTTAAATGTGAGAGTAAAAACGTGAGTGAAAGTGAATTACTTGTCAATATGACACAGCACACCACTGCACACAACAAAATGATCCCAGGGAGAGCAGTGCGTAGGGACGGTGTGGGGTAACTTGGCAGGTGGTGGACTCGAACCTGAAACCTTCTTGACCCAAATCCACTTCCTTAACCACCAAGGCACCACTGCCCTTTTGGTTACTACCACTTTTGGTATACAGAATAAACAGGCATCTAATTTTTCTGCTGAAATGAGTCTGGCAGTTTTTCTTCCAAAAACTGCATCCCAAATTAGTTGGCATAAAATGTAAAAAAGACATTTTTCAAACACCATCAATTTTTCTCACTAAAACAATCAGACAAAAACTATTTACAGTTTTTTTCATCTGAGATTCAATATTTACCATTCCAAGACGCCAGCATCTTAGTGTCCAGATGTGGGCGGGGCCTCCTCTTCCTCACATCTGCCATCCTGGCTCTGGCGGAGGACAGGATCTGGTTGACCTTCTCCACACTGATGCCAAAGTGAGCAGCTGTTAGCTCGACAGAATAACGCACGATCAGCACATTCTGTCCCCGCAGCTCACCGTGAGGGTCCTGTCAACGCACAGCAGAGGACAACAGAGGGCGCTCATGGAGGTGACCTCATTACGACTGCAGCAGCCAGTCACATTAAACCCTTAATGGACGCTGTTTAACACCTCAAACAGTGGAGGGACCACAGCAGGAGGGCAGAGTGAAGAGTAAGTCAAATACAGCAGTGAACGGAAGTAACAACAACAGGCTGAACAGATGGGTGATGTGATTGGAATGGGGGCAATCTTAGAGCAGCGCCGAGCAGAGTGATGTGATTCATCAGCACTTTTATGGACAATTGAAGCACTTTCAAATATTTGTACCCATACTTCAACTCTAGGCTTTTAAATTGTTTTCATCTGATTTCTTGCAATTAAACACTGTATAGCACATGTGACGTTGGACACAGGGACACATTCAAATACCTGCTCTGGATCCACATTTCCCTGCTCCTTGACCCCATAGTGGTGCATGAAGATGTCTGCCTGGGTGGCAGCAGATTTGGCGCCCTCTACCACATCGGACAGAAGCCGTCGGATCTCAGACGCTGTCCAGACACAGAACGCTCCCTCACGCTTCTTGGTTCCTCCAGATGCTGGGACAGAGTCGGCGTCCTCTGCACTGTAGAAGCCGCCGGACTGTGACGGAGAGGACAAAGAGAAGACATAGAGAGGACAGAGAAAAGACAGAGAGAAGACAGAAAAGCTGTAAAGTTTATGAAAATAACACTTGGTGGACAAATGACTTGACGCCCATAATGACAGTCTTACAGACCATAACATCTGTATGAAGGATATTAACAGATTGTCTGTCTGCAAACTACATGTTAGAAGATGAATGACTGCAGCTGGGATTTGTTACGTATGTAGTGAACTGTAACAGTAACAGACTATTATTTCGCACTTGCTTAAATTCTGAAGCTTTGGCAACAACAGCAACATTACGTGACATCAGCCAATAGTGTGTGGTTGGTGTGAGCCAACATGTTGCTCTTGACTTTAACTCTCTTTCCCACTAAACATGTGATGGTTTTCACACAGCTGCACTCCTTTATAAAATCAAAGGGGAGAACCTGTAAAAACCAAAACACCACAGGATTGTCTGGAAAATGGAACTGACATTATAAATGAAGCTTGACGTGTCTACCAAAACAACATTCATCGATTCACCCCGTGTTTGTGAATTTATACACTGACTATATTTGCTAAAAAAGTCATTTAGGTATTTATAGAATCATCCACTTAAACAGGAGTTATTCTTGTCTTTAGGTCTGTTATAAAGGACGAGACAAGACACACACCACAGAAAGTGAAAGTCACAGAGAGACGTGCACATCACTCTTCCACGCACAGCCTGGAAATTCAAAAGTGGCTGCATTAAAAATCACCGCCATGTTTAAAGTCTAACATTAAGGAATTGCTAACACAGTGGCATCCAAGCCTTTTACAGCCAGGGTGAAGTGTGGAACACATCCTGGACGGAGGAAGTTCTCTGCTGCTGGCACAAAAAAAATGCACAGAGTCTAAAGTGAATTACCTTTGCTGCATTAATTCATTAGCGAGTAATTACGTAATAAATCTTGAAAAGGAGGGGTGCGGAGGGGAGGGGGCGAAGATTACAACGAGCACAGTTTTAATTGTGTGTCCTGTTCGCTGCTATCGCTATTAATCAAGAGAGAGAAAAAAAGGATGTTGACCCTCGGAGGAAGGCAGGGGTTTAAGAGGCGATTTGTCAATGGGGTCCAAGCCCCTGTCCCTGTAGGAGGCAGCAACACAAACACACGCACGTACAGGAGCTGACTTCTTCTCATGTGGACAACATTAGCTGTAAATCACGTCAGGTAATAATAATAAAGAAGGCATTAAGGTGGCAGAGCTGCCCTGGATTTAAGGGTTTTTCTAAGAAGGGATTCACACTAATTCACACGTGTCCTTAAATAAATACTTCCACCTTTCTGCAACAGCAGATTTAAAAAAAAAAAAAAGGGTTGTCAAATGATCAATTAATCATGATTTATAATTAATTATGATTGCACTTAGTGATGAAAAATAATATATATGAAAAAAAATAATTCTGTATGTTGCTAGGTGACAGTCGACTCACCTTATCACTCAGGTCTCTGGAGACGTAGCGCAGGATGTCCTTCGCAACATCAGCAAAAAACTGCTCACCTGACACCTGAAAACAAAGTCATGATTCAACCACAACAATACTTTAAAGATAGCAACATGATATTATTCATATATAGGATATCACCTGCTGCGTTCACCCAGAATGCAATGCTGAGCCAGCCACCACAACCTCATCAAACACAGGAGTGTGTGACTGCTGGTGTCCCAGTTAGAATTTTTTTTTATATTAGCCTTTGCATAAAGATAAATACAGGCCAGTCTGGGCAAAAAGAACTGGAATAACAATAAGACAAAGACAGGGTGTAGTTTGTTGTCCTTTAAACCTAGTTTTTCAAACGATGATTTTATTTCACAGTGAAGTGAGTAAAATGATCAAAGTGTGATCACAAAGTGTGATGTGGTTTCAACAGACTGGTCTATAGACCAGACCGGTCCATCGACAGACTGGTCTATAGACCAGACCGGTCCATCAACAGACTGGTCTGTCTACAGCAGCTAACTACTGTAACTACTCCATAACAGACTAATACATGTTTCTGTAATTGATTATTATTTATTCAAGCTACAAATATTATTAATTGTTGTGTAATTTTTATTTTTATTTTACTAAGGTTAAGTAACTCTGCTGCATGGTCTTTTTAACGGGCCGCATTTGCCCCCCAGGCCTTGAGTTTGACACATGGTCTACAGACCAGCTCTCGTTGGCTTGATGAGACTGAGCATTTACTGTTTTTCATGTAACCATTCCACTTGTTTTACAGTAAAATAATCACTTAAATGACGCATCGGTGGAACAGTTTGAAGAAAAGCAGCTTCATTACCATCTCAGACTGACGCAGAGTAAACGTTTGCAAAAGCACACACCAGTGGATTCTGCTGACTGCTTCACAGAGTGATAAATAAGGTGAGTGGAAGAGGAGGATAATGAAGGAGAGATAATTGGCCCATCTCACTCACACAAACACACACACAACCTCAGGTGCAGACAAAATGAGTGTCACACACACCTGGGAGGCGGTGATATAGGCTACAGCCAACTGAGCTTGGTCATACAACATCTTCTCAAAGTGGGGGACGTGCCAGGAGGAGTCGGTGGAGTAACGGTGGAAACCCTGAGGAGGAAACGACAGCAAAGTGAGAGGAACCTACCTCTGAGTGGACCACAACAATCCAGGAGTATTCTGTTTTTTCTTTATTTTCACATATTTGCTCTTGGAAATATATGGACAGATAAATGAATAAATAAATGTACAAACTTGTGCCACGTGGTCGTGGATGCCACCCAGTGCCATCATACGGAGCGTGTGCAGAGCCATGTGAAGAGCTTCTAAGCCCTCTGAGGTGGAGCAATTCACAGACCAGTAGGACATGAGAAACATCAGGTTGACTGAGGCAGAGAGATGGAGGGACAGTGTCAGACATCAGTGAAGGACACAGTTTAGTCAACATACCTTCTTTACAGGAGTCTGCATTCAATTTAAGAAGCTTTTTAAGGAACTCTTATTTCAAGGTTTAAGCTGTTTCTTAAATAAACAGCACAACAGTAATTACGTACCTCACTTCTTTGTTCTGTTTTATATTTTGTTATTGTATACTTTTTCTAATTTTTTTTTTTTTTTGTTGGTTTAATTAGCTTTCGAGGAAACTTTTCCAGATACATTTAGCTGTCATTTTCATAAGCTCATGTCTTGTCACACCTTTAATTAAAAAGAAAAAAACAGTCTCAAAAGCCTAAAATTGAAAAACCTATGAATACTGGTTCTTACTGCAGCATATTCTCTACCTCTTAGCTGTCATTTATTAAAGGTCTTTTTTAATGATATTTAAATAATGAAAACAATAAAAGTTAGCAACAGAGTCCTCCCTAGCTGATGTTTTCTACCTGGTGTGGGGAATTTGGGGGCATCTCTGAATCCTCCGTACTCCTCCTCGTAGGAATTGATCAACTGCTGGAGGCAATGGTTTGCAACATCTGGGGCAGGGGCTAGACTTTGTCCTGGGTTTGCAGCGATAGTGGTGTGATTCTTCAGCGCATCTATGACTTTCTGACCGCTGGTCTCCAAGGCAGGACGATTATTCTGCCACTGAGGGACACGAGTCATGACTGTCTCATTACATTTGACAAATAAACTGCACAGTGGAATTAAACTCCTGCAAACACATGCACATTTGGATTTGTTTAGTTAATCCTCTGCTGCTGACACAAAGCCTCAGACTCCACATAGTTATTGCTTCTTTTTGTCCACGGTTGTATTAAATTTAAATATATCAGAGAACAAATTGACATTTTCTGATATGTTTTACCTTCTTTTCCTGCCAAAAAAAGAGATGAAAAAACAGCAGCACTGCTGTCATCTCAGTCCATTAAATATTAAAAGGAACAGCCAGAAGTTGGTAAGTCAGCATTAAGAATATAAGAGCCGGCGTCGCTCTGTCCAAAGGCGAAGAAAAATAAAAATCTGCCGACCAGCAGCTCTAAAGCTGACTAATTAACATCAGCATTTCCTTTCTATGAGTCTAAGGGCGGCGTTACATCACTGCTCAAATGTGAAAACCTCGGCGGAAATTTTCTGAAGACAGGAAGAACACTAAGAGGATAAGGAGATAAGAACAGGAGGAGGTGGAAATAAAGCCTGGCAGCAAGGGTGATGGAAAGGGAGAAATAGTCAAATGAAAAGACGAGGACACGATAAAGACCAGACCAAGACCAGGGAGCACTATTGGTTTGTAACAGATGATATCTTTATAACACTAATGTAAAAAATGTGCTGCAGAAGACAAGGCGCTGAGGAAAACAAACATAAGGACAGCTCTCTGGTCAAACGAACCAAAATAAACAGATGTTTTCACCTGATCCATGATCCTAGTCAGGACTGTTCCAAAACCAGGTCTTGCTCCATGGTTCCTAGGAGGGAAGTAGGTTCCTCCAACAAAAGGTCTCAGGTCTGGGGTCAGCCACACACTCATGGGCCAGCCTCCACCTCCACCCATTGCCTACAAATAGATGTGACAAAATTCCATGAGAAGATGAAGACAAAGAGGATCTGCAACAAATTAAAAAATAACAAAAACAGTCACAGACCTGAACAAAAGTCATGTAAACTTTGTCCACATCAGGTCTCTCCTCTCTGTCTACTTTGATGCAAACAAAGTTGTCACTGAGGATTCTACCTATTTCCTCATCTTCAAAAGATTCTCGTTCCATCACATGGCACCAGTGACAGGTAGAGTAGCCCACTAGTGGTCAGAAATAGATTTACAATGACTTTGAAGTTGCAGTCAAATAATAATAATCTAACAATCTTCACAGGGGAGGCTGTGAATTAGGCACGATTAAAAATGACTGAAATTAATCCAGTTAATTGTGATAAATCAAGAATGGTCAACATACTTAAATTTCCACTAGTGGTCAGAAATAGATTTACAAGGAGAAGAATGACTTTGAAGTTGCAGTCAAATAATAATAATCTAACAATCTTCACAGGGGAGGCTGTGAATTAGGCACGATTAAAAATGACTGAAATTAATCCAGTTAATTGTGATAAATCAAGAATGGTCAACATACTTAAATTTGACAAAAAGAAATCTGTATATCGTTAAATCATTGTATACATTTGTGTCGCTTCAAAAGCAGCTTACCTGATAAAAAGATGGGTTTGTCTTCCTTTTTGGCTTTGTCAAAAGCCTCTTGTCCCCAAGGATACCTGAGATAAAAACATCTGTCAAACACATGATTCCACATGAGTTTGTGTGTGGTGTGTGGGGATAGTGCCATTCTCAATGCACCTTAGTGGCACGTGGTGGCTGGTGGATTCAAACCTGCAACCGTCCAGATACAAGTCTGCTTCTTTAACCACCAGACAACCACTGGCCCTGTAAGTTTCAGGAGAGCACCTGAAACTTACAGGTTAGCACCAGAAACGTTTTATTTATTTGTTTAATGTCTTCCTGTTCTTTAGGGGCTCCGCAAAATCCTGCTCATCTTTGAATAATACTAAAGTATTTGAGAAGAAACTGTCATCCCTCTTAGCAGCCAATCACAGCAGGTAGGACAACTCCACCCATGTTGTAGTAAATTTACAAAACTGTAAACCTCCAAGAACTGAACTATGAGCTGAACATGTGGGGATGTTCCCTTTTAACGTCACCCACCAGTCGACAGGGTTGTGTGCATGTTGCAGCAGATACGGTGACTTCTCTTTGACCAGCCTGTTAGTGTGTTTGTGAGGAGGGGAGGATGGAGCTTCACCTCCTGATGCCATTCTAATGAAGATAGGCAGCCTGGACGGAAGAGAAGATAAACAATTACAAAGTCCACTAGTATTACTGCATTACAACCTTAAGGTTGCTTAATGTATACAACGTATTAATCTTCAAATCGAATGTACTGCAGCAGATGCTGCAGGTAATAAAGCGACTAGCTGATAGATAATGTCGAACCTCGTCCACGTTTTACCATTTTATATTACATTCCTAATACATTAAAATGCAACACCAAAGTGAAGGCAACCGACATAATTTCGAAATGAAAATATAAAGACTGTAACTCGGCAGCACTGATATTTTAAAAGAAAACATTTATTATTCATACAGGAACGTCAGCTGACAGTTAGCAATGCTAACAGTAACAGACGAGCAATATAGACCCGTTGTTATTGTCAAATGAGTAAACCGCTATAAAATATGACCTTTGTTTTTATTTTGTTTAAGCCGAATGTGAACAAATGTTATTTCGCCTCTGTCTGTATTAATTCGATTTCACAGACACGTTTTGTTGTCGGGTTTAACAGCGTAGATGCATAAATGTGTTGAATTTAAAATAGGTTTCAGCGCAGTTGTCCCAAGCCCATTCACAAACATACGGCAAACAAGGTTACGCAGCAAGTGTCGCAAAAACTACTATTAAATGAACGTTGTTTATTAATTCTTCCGTAGACAGAGCTCTGTAAAAACAGGGGGACTTTACCTGGAGGGACAGACCGGTTGAGGACAGAGAAATGGTCGCAGGACAGGTGGTGGTGGTGATTGGGTAGTTTGGACAGAATACCTTCTATTGACCCCGAAGTTCTGATGAAAAGTGACAGCTTCTGACACAGTTACAGCTAAACGCCGTGCTAAAAACTCACTGTTGGTTTTCCTGAACGCGGAGCGACGCCATGCGAATTGTAACATCCTAATAACAAAATAAATGTGTGAATAAATCTGTTACTAAATCCAGATATTGTTCGCCTGATTTAAAAGCGAAACACTCGCAGCCTGAAGGTGAACTTTGGATGAAAGCATCTAAATGTTGAGGTGTCGGACCGGCAGTCTAAAATAATTATATTTTTAAACCCAAGACAATCTGCTTCAATAATTCGCCTCCAAAACATGAATAAAATACTCCAATAACAAAGTTTTACCCATAGAGCGTACAGCGCGCTCTTCATTATTTACGCTTAACGTCACCGTGAGTTACGTCATGTCTTTACCACGTGAAACTTCGTACGTTGATTGGCTGTGAAGAGGCACGTGAGACGACGCCTGCAAAGCATAGTATGTGTGGGCCGGCTCGGAATGCTGGCATACGGGTCCAGACTCAATCAATCAATCAAAAATAAATCGCTTTACAAGAATTCTATGGTACGTACGTAAATACATTTTAGACATGCGGTGGATATTACTCAATACACATACACACGAATATACGCGTGAATAAACATTTATATACATTAATATATACATATTTATTTAAATACACATTAAAAAATTACATTTGAGAAAACCAACAACAACAAAACAAAAAATCAAGTCATTGGGAAAAGAGAACAAAATGTAGTAAATGTGGTGAAAATATTTGTCCATTTGTTACATTTAACTACATTTAAAAAAAGAATTAAATGATGCAAAATACAAGATTAAATAAACATGGTGAGTTCCTGAGGCAAAGAGAACAAGTTGATAAAACGATATGAAAAAAAAAACAAGTTAGAAGTACCTCATATAACATTTATGTAAATAATATGACTGGATTTTTGAGGCTAGTTGCCACGTTAGTTGTCATGAGCTTCAAAATACCAGGTAAAAACTGAAAAAAATAACATATATGAGCATTATGAACAAAGTCGTAGGTGTAGTGTATATTATTTTATAAATAAACTGTTGAGATAAATAATAGTTTTAGATCAATAAAACCACAGACATACAGATAATGTTCAGCAAAACCCACAATATAGCAGTGCATTATTTTTATAGAGGTTTCTAGGTTCTCCCAAAAGGTAAACAATAATAACTTCCTACATATTGTCCATCCATTACTTTCATTTGTTTTTTGAGTGATTGAGCTGGACAACTGTTGCAACAAAGTTGTCTCGAGTCACCACATCTGAGGCGATAATGTTGGGACTTCTGCCCGTCTGCTGTCTGACCCACTGCAGCAGCTCGGGGAGACTCCTCCTTATGACTTTGGTGAAGTTTTCTCGGGGCCAAAGTACGTACCTGAAGATCGTGCTGTCTTCTGGTAGAGTCAGGTTCAAGCCACACACAAAGAAACCTGGAGGTAGTAGGAGGAGATGGCAGTCACAAAGACAGCTTGGCAGTATTTTTTTGTCTGTCTGTAAACAACGGAAGGGAGGACTCACAGTGAGAAGGTCTTGCTTTTTCCAAAACTCGACAGAGTTCTGATTCAACTTTTGCAGGATCCATGGTATTAGCGTAGTAATATGGGATTTTTCCCCACAAGTCCAGTTGTTGGTTTCCAGGATAATCATATGAAACTATGATGTTTCTGCCTTTGTCCCAGCAGCTCTGAAGTGTAGGAGTGTCCTGTTGTGATGTACCACAGAACATTATCATTAAGTTCCTAAAGGTGGTCCTACAAAGACATGTCAGAATCATCAGGGCCCCTTACTGATCTATGGAACAGTTTGGTTCCAAATATGGTCTTGATGAGGTTGATGAGATGAACATGGAGCTCCTCAACATGTTGGTCAAATCCTTCAAAGTGTGATAAAGCCAGGATCAGGATCTCCTTTGGATGTGTCTCTGCCCAGTCACGAATCAGCCTGAGAACAGACTGAGCAGAAACACAAACTGAGATGTTCTAAAAAAGGAGAGCGACTTTTAGATGAGGTCAATTTAATTAGCCTTAACTTCAGTTATTGTTCATTTGTTGTCTTTTTAATATTTTACTAATAATACCACATTTCATTTGTAAGTATTTTCACCTTATAGCACATCAAATAGAACAAGAGAGTCAGTGTCGCTGATGAAACAGCCCCGACCCCCATGGGGGACATGGCCCGGTGTGAACAGTAGGTGTTGAGAGGAAGAAAAAGCTTTAGTGAAATGTATAAATAAAACAATGCCACATTTAAACCTCTACCTCCACATCAGTCTTGGTACACAGCCCATGATGGAAGTAAAATCTAGCGGGCTCCTTGTCATTTGGTTTGCGGATGATCCTCAAGTCCAGGTAACGAACTCCAGCATCCAGCTGCCGAGTGATGTTCTCCTCCTGCAACATTGTCCAGAAACAACAACAACTCATTATTACACAGACTGTCAGTCCCAAGCACTGGTGCTGTTCATTCACTGCTGCAGGGCTATAAAGCCAATGTTACCTGAGTGGTGGCCCACTTGTGCATAACTTTACGTGCACCATAAACCCTGCTGAATCTTTTCAAGTGAGCAGGCTCTATGATAAAGGAGTCCATGTCCAAGTCATAACTCATGGAGTCATGGCTTCCTAGGTTGAACCACACACACACACACACACACACTTAAAAGCCATACTTGATGTGTTCTTGTATTTGATATGAAGCTCATTGTTAATATATTTTTTCAACAAATTACTGTGTTTAGCTTTTGTTTAAATTAAACCACCTGTCAGTGAGGTGTGCGCTAACTTCCTGTAGCTTTTGGCTAACTTCCTTGCTATCCACAGCTGCTAAGTACATATCAGGTTTTCCCTTTGTCTGCCTGGCATGAGCTCTAACCAACTATTACCTAGCAGTAACTTTACAAACAGTGTTGCAGGAAGTGGATGTGGTTTCACTCTCATACCTGGAATTGCCAGCTGGAAGAGAGGAATGTTGTGAAGACCAGCCGGTAACCGTGACATCCAGTCACTGAGCTCAGTAACCTGTTCTGCCTCTGCAGACATGTCAGTCTCTGCACCATCAATTCTACAAACACAGTCATATCAGTCAGCTGTACTTTTAAGATTGAAAAAAAACAAAAAACCCTGAAAACTCCCTACTTACTCTGAACTGAGACGTCTTCACTGACAAAGATGGGTGTGTTTTCCTGCAGTCGTGCAGGTCTTTAGGAATTCACCTGCTATTGGACGAGGTTAAACACTCAATGGGAATGAATAGACTTCCTCATACCACTGGTATTATTGTATTTTTAATTTACAACTTGTCTTCCAACTATTAACTCTGCCGGCACTTTTTGGTTCTGTTTGTTTTTTAAATGCAAATTTGGCTTTTGATACTCTGCAACTTATACACTCACGATAAAATGAAACAATCTGTCCCCAGGGAGACAGGCATAGATGGCTATTTATGTAAATGTTAGTCATTTTATAACACAAAATATCAGAATAGAATATTTCAACAAGGTGTATGTGAATATATATGAATCACTCCATGACACTGATATATTTGTCAACCATCAATATTTACTTCACAGTTTTCAACTGAATTGGACCCATTTTCAGAACCATGTGGTCACTCGTCTTTAATTACCTCTAGAATTATAATAAAATATCCAATTCTAAAATTCTTCAAATGTATTCAAATATATACATGTATATTCCTAATAATCCTGATATTCACCTGAGACTTGAACCTTCAGCCGTCAGTAGATTAATATGCACTGCTTTGCATACATGTCATCTTCAAATACTCTAATAAAGAGATGAAAGATGTGATGGAAACACATTAAACAGAAAGAAATTGAAAAAGAGAAATTGTTTCTGATCCCAAAACAGCCGATCTGCTGCAACAGGAGGTGCCAAATAAGTGGTTCCTCTGGGGCTCAAACCCAGGATCTTCTGCATGTAAGGCAGATGTGTAAGCAGGTGTGATAACTGCTGCACTATGGAACGGCAACCATTAGTCTGAGTAAGTGATGATTCTATAATCCGTTTGTTTTTTTCTGCTGCTCAGTCTCCATCAGAGATCCAAGCTTTTCTTTTCACAGGGAACCCGTCACTGATGATCCTCCTCACCCCTTCCTCACTCCTGGGTCTGGAATTCATGAATGCTACGTTTGCCCCTCCACTCTCATATGGAAAAACTCCCCCTGAGACCTGAAAAACCCTCTGAGCTGCATCGGCTGAGTGGGAACACCCAGAATGCCAAGCTCTTCTCCTGGGGAACTGAGCAAATCGAGGGGAACCCCCCGGATTCAAACCACTGAATCCAGACAGAGGCTTTTTGGTTGCAGAGGTGAAGCTGTCACCTGACACCGAGGGCAGGACTGACTCTGATTCAGAGTGAGACCTTTGTGTACGAGGAACAATATGAACTGATGGAGCAGCAGAGTGAAGTGTGAAGGAGGACAGAGGAGACGACTGAACAGAGGTTCTGTGGTTGGGATGAAAAACTCTTGTCTTCCTGTGTCTTGTTTCAGCCACCGGTCCATCGTCACATTTCCTTGGCCACAGTGATGGTTCTCCTAATGGTTCCACACCTTTCTCCTGGTCACTAACCCACTTTTTCCTCCTCCTGCTCTGAACCTCCTCCAACTTCATCTCCAGGTCGTGAATGTCTTCAGCGACTTGGTTGACACGATCGAAACATGACAGCAGAGCCGTCACGCTGGGGACCAGGTGGTCCAGGTTGGACATGGTCCACTCTGACAAGTCTTCTGACCTCACAGACAAAACTGAAGAAGGTGGGCGAGGAGAGGAGGAGGACAGGGAAGGGGAGCGGTACGAGGAGAGAGTGGAGGAAATGTTGGAGAGACGCGACTCCCGGGAGGATCTGGACAGAGGGACGTCCATGCCTTCAAACTTCACCCTGTGTCTGAACTGTGGAGGAGAAACGTGATAAGACAGGAGGAGTTCACAGATCAAGGAGGTGGAACTGCATCATCTACCTCTTTAGTCTTGGTCAGGCCCATCCACAGTTTGAGTCTCTTGATGAAGAACTCCACCATCTCATGGTCCTGAGGTTCGATTGTTGGCTGGTGCAGTTCGGCCTTCTCCTCCCTTTGAAACACAGTGACTCTGGTTTACATCACGAGCAGCAGTTCAATGGAAACATTTTACTCTTCCTCAGATTAGACTCTCATCATAACAAAGTGCACAGTGGACTGTGAAAATGATTTTCTAAGATAGATGAGAATTGTTGAACAAACATAAATAATAAAGCATGTTCAACAACCTCTGAATGTACTGCACCAGGCCGTACGTCTTTTTTATTTTTATAATATGGTCAAAAATCTGGTCGTCACGGTAACACATAATAACAGTTTAACTTGTTCAAATTTGGACACGCCTTTCTAACACTGTTCCACCCAGGGACCTGTTTGAGTTGCTAATAAACTAGCAGCTGTTCAACCTGTGGTATTTAGGGTTGTGGTGATGCCCAAAGCACCCTCTGCTGGAGCAGGTGGCAACTACAAGTAACAGTCTGAGACAAACCCAAACAAGGCTTTTAGCCCCATGATTGAACATTAAATCTTAAGACTAGCTCGCATGAGTCATCATTAACTAAAATAAATAAATAAAGGATAAAATGCAGTTATATTTTAAGGTGCTAGCACTCACTCAGACATCACTGAATGTGAAAGGTGTTTTCAGTGCACTCTACCTGTAGGCCCTGATAAGAACTGCTCCACACAGTCGGCCCAAAATCCACAGACAGCCACCCCTCAGCAGTAGTCCATAGAGAGGACCCAGGACTTTTTGGACCTTGCACAATTTTTGTAGAACTATCTGCCCACGCAGTATGGACAACGATGACACAGCGGCCTCATGCACAGATAGAAAGCCTTCCACTGAATCAGAGAAAAGCTGCAAAATTGACAAAGGAAAATCAATGTCTTGTTATTTTTTTCCAACCCAGTCCCTTCAGTGGTGTTTTTTAATTCTTTCGGTACCGTGTTTCCGAGATGAGTGCAGAGCAAAACCAGGAGCAGCAGGAGGGCAGTCAGAGCCCACAGCTCCCCCCGGGCTCTCTGCAGCACTCTGCCTATCACCAGCCACCTCCGCACAAACCCCAAGGTTCCCAGGAGCTGAAATTGCAGCGCAATGGCAGAGACAGGACATTTAATAAAGCCGTGTGCCTGGGCGTGTGCTGTTGTATAATCATGAACCAGAGCTGGTATTTACCTTTAGAACAAGCAGAGTGAGCAACACAGCCGCACACTGAGAGGACCTCTGGGCTAGAAGTGCAGCACGGTGGAAGTTGATGAAGTCGTGAGGCTGAGAACGGAGCTTGAAGGCAATGCACAGGTGATCGTCAGACACGTAGACACATTTTAATCTCATTCGTGTTGTTAAGATACAGTAGGAGGTGTACGATTTTTGGAAGAGGTTTAAGCAAAAACATTCAGTCTGAATCTAAATGTTCAATTCTAGATCCCACTTAATTTGTATGTAAACTCCGAAATATTCCAGATCCATAGAGTCAGTTTTCCATAATGTTTGGTGCAGAACTTAGAACTAATGATTCTTGAGCACTGAACTTTCAAATATAGAATGCAATACCTGGTTGACACATGAAGAGGCAGCAGACAGGAAGCAGAATTGCAGCATAGCCGTCACTAGTGACAATGAGGCCAGGAACAGCTGGAACCAGTGTCTGAGTTGGTGGTGACTTTGGGAATGTTCTATGGCCTTGGGCCAGAGCTCAGTGAAGAAGATGAGGAGAGCAGAGAGGAGGAGTAGAACCTGGAGAAAAGTCACATGGTTTGGATTGTTGAAATATCTTAGACAGAGATGGTTTTGTTGTGTTTTTTGAATGTGTGCTGTGAGCTTTACTGTTAGAGCCACATGAAGGTCCAGGCCTGAGGAGGAAGAAGGGGCGAGGAGGGGATAGACGGTGAGGTGAGGAGTAATCTTTTCTCTGTGAGCCCACTCTAGCAGAACAGACACACAGACAAACAAACCAGACTCTCCGTGGTACTGAGTCAGATCAATGGTTACACTGTGGAACCTGAGAGACAGAAACAAACTGTCAGGGAGCAAAACCATGGACGTTAAAAAAAACTTTGAATGTGCATTGATATGTTAGCATCTAAAGCACCTCATCCTGTTGTAAATGTAAATAGTTAGATAATGTAATGTCGACTGACAGGCTGCGCTGCCTTCACAGTAATAAATAATTCCAGGTTTTCCACAGATACATATTTAAGATTGTTACTGCGACCAATCAACTCACAGCCTTTGGCTCCAGTCTGTCATGTGAAGATCATCGAGGAGCTGCTGCGTCGTCACACTGTCGTTTCCCAGCAGGACTTTGGTCTGGTGACCAAAGGTGTTTGTGAACTGCAGCTGTGTTAATCCAACCAGATGTAATGAGGGGTTCTGGTGGAGATGTGGAACCAAGGTGTGGCCGATCCACTTTTCTGCCTCAGACCAACTAGAAGACAGGGAAATCATATGAGAAAGTCACCAAATTAACAGAGGAAACTAAAGAAAAACAAGAATTAAAGCCTTCGTTTTGGACTTGTTGAATACAAATGACCAACAATTTCATTGGCGTTAAACTGCCCCTGCTAAATATGATGTTAGCCAGGTTGCTATTATACAAGGCACTACCAGCCACTTTACAAACTAAGGTTTGCTATGAAAGCTAGCTCAGAAATATTACAAGAATCTGATGTAATAAACAAACAAACAATTAATGGAATAAAGCCCTAATGTTGTACTTGTTGACACAAAAAAGATTGCCCTATAATTTACCCATGAAAGGTACCTTGATTGTCACTGCTAAATACTGTAGCTGGCTTAAACAGTTAGCCAAGAAGTGTTAGCATGCTAACAAAACATAAAGCAGTTGTCAAGGCATGTTACTGAAAAATGTATCCAGTGAATGACAGGATTTATGGGTGTTGACAGTATAAATGTGAGTGTTCTCCTCACTCTCTGATAGAGGTGAGATTACAGACACCTGACGGTGCTGTATGGAGGTGGTGTCTGACGGTGGACTGAAGGAGTCTCCCCTGCCTCTGTTCCACACTGTCCTGGTAGTTAACCATCAGCACTAGCCACAGAAACAGCAGCTGACAAAGACAGTTCTGAAGGACAGAGGTCGTTTAGTAAAACAGCTCTTATTGATTCGTTTAGTCTGAAACTGAAACTGAAGATATTTTTACCTTCATGAGCGATTGCAGGGCTCTGACTTTGCGGGCTTCATCTTTAGCCTGGAGGAGACCATAACCACAAGGTGGTCGAACCTTGGCACTATGGTCTCCGAACCCGCGGACCACAGTGGTCTCCTGGGCCAGAAGATCCTCCACCTCTGGATCCACAGGCCTCCAGAGGAGTGTGAAGACCAGTGCCTGCACACACACCTGGGCAGAGTAGAAAGAAGTTGTTTTTTCAGCGTGGTTGAAACAGTATCTCTGACTGAATCACCACCAGTGCTTCTTTTATTTTAATCGCATTGGTGGACTCACCTTGAGAGGCTCCAGCAGAAGAGCAGAGGTGAGGAACGCAGACAGAGCCGACACCAGCCACATGAGAACAACAGACCTGGAGAAGAAGCTGCCATAGAGTCCGACCACGGCCAGGCAGGTGCCGAGGAGCGCGGCCACCAGAGGGTAGATGACATGAAGGGTCCAGGGGGGGAGAAACCAGCTGGGCGGACCTCTAGAAACACCTGGAACATGAAGGTCAGGTTGTAGTAACTTGGACTAATGATCTGGACTCTGATGTCAAACTGTCAGTACTCCAACTGGACCCTACAGGACACAGTACCTATGCGGGTGGTAGAGTAGGAGCGTGTGGAGTCAGGAGAAGGACTGGGCAGGAAGGTGCTGGCCACAGAGTCCACAGACAACACTGACGGACACTTGTAGAGTCCAGCTCCATCTGGGCTGGGGCACATCTGTGGGTCAGTCCCACACAGGGATTTGTCATCGCTGTGATCCGACCAACTGCTGCAGGATGTGCTCTGTCTGCAGAGGTGGAAGAACAGGTAAACGTTATGATGTGACGTAACACTGACCTACAACCAAGTGGATTTGTGGGCTGCAGGAAAATGTGGTTTACGTGGCTGAGAATGAGGACGTGGTTCTAGGAGAGTCCCGCCCACTGTCTGAGTTGTTGTTGTTGTTTGGATGAGTCGTGTCTTCTGCCGCTGCTGCTATGGACATCAGCAGATCCTCCTCTAGACATAAGAGACATAACCACAGATGATGTACAGATGTCTTCTGTGGCCCACATCTAGTGTCCAGACTCGTTGATGAATTTACACCACACTACTCTGTTCTCTGTTCTGATTCTGTTGTGATGTTTTCTCACCTGACAGCGTTAGAAAGGTCGTTAGATTGTGACCTTTGGCTGAGTGGGTGTTCATGTTGAGCCTCCTCTGACCCGGTGCAGCAGCTACATGGTCACTGAGATGTCTGCAGGGTGATGGGGCAGACGGTGAGGACAGACTCAGCTGTGTCAGGGCCTTTTTCCTTCTCAACTGTCTGGCGTGGCTCAGGGGGGGCAACACGTGGGCCGGGTTAGTCCTGGTGGGGTGTGAGTCCACGGGTAGACTGAGGAGACTGTCACAGGAGGGCCACACAATTACATCATCATTTTCTGGACCTGTTCGGTCAGTCTGTGGCATCAGTCCAGACGCCGTCCAGAAGTCCAGGATACTGGAATCGCACACTTTGCTTTCCAGCAACTAAAACAGGAAGTCAGTTTGAGAGGAGGACAGTCAACAGGGTGGACATGAAGGTAATGTCCCTTTTACTTTTACTCTTTACCCTCAGCATCCCTGAGCTTATATCATTTTGTATCATTTTGTTTTTTTACTTTTTTAACAACTTAATGATTTGAATTAGTCAAATATCTGAAAAGAAAAACAGGTCTGAGACACGTCATCATCATTAGTTATAATCATGATTAATTACGAGCAATACACAGCTACCCCATGATTAATAAGATGAATGTATTACTGTACATGTCCTGCTAATCTGAAACTTGGTGTGTGTGTAAGTGTGTGTGTGTGTGTGTGTTCTCACTGAAGAAGGACTTTCTCGAGCTGGGCTGGTGATACTTGGCAGAGACAGGAGAGAGGAGCTGGACAGTCCGGTCTGACCAAGGTAAACGTCCATTTCTACAGACTGACAGACTGGAGACGGAGGGACGGACACGTCCACGGTCACCTGTGTTGCACACACACCCACACCCACACACATTTGTTACCTGGTCATTGACTGTGTGTGAGTGGATTAATATCAGTCCCAAACTCTGCCTGTGTTGACGGTGTTACCTGACTGTGAGCTTTTCTAAACAGGAAACAGAGCAAACACTGTAGAGGGAACACCAAGGCTGCCACACTCACGCCCAGGGCCATGGTCTCAGCATTCAGCAGCGTCTTCGCTGACACTGGTCCACTGGTGGGAAAATGAATTAAAGACATTTGTCCTGTCAGACTGGGAAATGATGACTTTATTTCACGTATACTCGTATACACGTATACGGATATTTTGTACAGTATTACTATTGTAGTTTACTTTCCTAGAAATGACACAAAAATAATAAAAGTATGTTCTAAAAGTAACATTATTTATTTTTGTTAATGAAAAGTCAGAATTCAAATAAGTAAAAAAAAAACACTCAAACACAACTCATTTGACACATTTGGTACAGTTTACATTTACCTTCATTCCCACAAACCCTCTCACCTGTCTCCTTCAGAGCCCACAGCCCCAAACCACGCTGCCCCCACTGCCAGGTACAGGTGTAGCACCAGAGCACTGCAGGTGACCCTTTGACCCCTGGTAAAACAGCTGTGGGCCGGACGCTCCCACAGGGACACCCAAAGGTGGCGCTCCCTCACCCCGAACATGAGCTGGGAGTTGAAGACCCTGTGGAACTCAGTCATCTCCTCAGGACCTGTTCAATAAACACAGACACATCTGAGTCCCTGGAATAAAACATTTAGTATTTTTACTACTTTTGAGAACATACTTACATGAAGCCAGAACTTCTTTCTCTACAGTTTCATTTTTATGATTCTCCACAGAGAGCCAATCCTCCAGCACAAAGAAGAACATGTGGTCTGTCTGAGTGTCCCACACCACCACGTGTTGGACATACCAGGAAGGGTTCAGGCCTAGGATAAAGGATTGGAAAGAAAAAAACAAACAAACATAATCCTAAACAGAACAGAAGAAACAAGACATAAAACAGACAAACAAACAAACAAATAATCGGACTCTTAAGAATGCCTTGTTTTAAGACCAGCCTACCACTAGATGACATGGTTCTTACCAGTTTCTCTTAGATATTTCTCTAGATTCATAACAATTTCAGGTATTTTTTGTCTATTGAAATACTACCGTTTTTTGTTTTCTGCAGTAATCTCATACCTGTATTGTCGTGCCACACCCGTATTTTCCAGATTTCACCCAGGTTGTCATCCGTCTCCAGGTGAAACTGGTCCAGACTCCCCCGCTGAAAAGCCCCGTCCCTCTGCAGATGGTGGGAGCCGCTCTTGTTGACACCATACAGACTGATGCCCACGTGTGCTGTGGTGCCTGTCGGTCAGACCACAAACTATAAATCCTCCACAGCACATTGACTTCAAATCTCCACCAGGGTACGAAGTCAGTTTTCATCTGGTTTTTCTTGGCTCACCTGCTCCTCGCCTCCAACCAGTCTTGACCAGAACCCTGTAGTGGTACAAACCAGGTCGGCCACACAGAGGGACCTGGCTTAGTCTCAGACTGTCTATGTGGTCCAGTTTATGTGCAATGAGCCCCACCAGCAGGTGAGCCAGGAGTAGGACAGCACACACTATCCCCACTATGATGTTACGCACTGGGCCTTCTGACTGCAGGGGTTAAAACATTGATTGACAGAAGAAAGTTAAGTGAGAATATAAAAGAATTATACTACAATTAAAACACATGTAGGAGTTCCTTCTTCACATACAGGTGGCAGCAGTACCACAGCCCCAGGATGGACAAACAAACTGGCCCCAAAAATAGTGAGGTGCTGAGTGAGGCATCGAGCTGCCTGGAGTGTGCTGCCCTCCAGTGGTTGCAGACCATCACTGCTCCATGTCCCCTTCTCTACATTGTAGTATTGACAGAGGGAGCTGAACAAACAGATGGACACTTGGACAGGAAGTCCTTCTATCACAGAGGAACTCAGGGTGACGAGGAGACGATGGTCTGACCCGTGCAGCCTGTAAGGAAAAAAGAAGATACTTAGATTTTTTTCTTCTTCATTTGTTTATGAGATTTACAAAAGATGTTGAACTCACATGGTGGGAAGAAGAACGGATTTCTCTAAGGAGGAGTTCTGAGCCGAAAGAGCCACAGTCCACTCTTCTGCAAGGACAATCTCAGAAGCATTAGTCCTTAGCATGGCAGAGTCCACACCTACCTTGACATGTACACAGTTCACAGAAGCTGCTTCTAGAAAAGACAGAACATGGTTTAAAAAATAATGTTTTGAAAATATAATTCAAAAAAGTATTTTACCCTTGTGACTTCACAGATGATAAATATAAATTTAAAGTCAAAGCTAGAAAGTTAGAAATGACAGAGATGCTAATGCTATGCTAACAGGTATACAGTAACTTAGAGGAAAACTCAAACAAAAGCCTTTTAACAACATTTGGAGGGAATATAAATATAAATCAACATTATTATGTAAGTGATTTTTAAATACATGCTAAGTTCATCATGTTAAAGCTAACTTTAATTCATTAGCTACTGGTGTGCTGCTAACAAGATAAAGTGGGTTGTAATCTTGAGCACTGACGTTTAAAATAGTATAATACAGTATGTAATTGATTTAAACTTTGAAATCTGAAATTTTGTTATAAACATAAGAACTTTTTCTATTGTACTTATCTTTCATAAAACAATTATTAGCATTACGTTATGAAATAAATCAACAGAAATTGAACCCAACATAGGTTCATCTCACTAAAACAGTTCTCATTACAGTGTTGTGCAAATCATCGTCATCCCTATAGAGACAACTTTCACTCCTATGGTCAGTTTAAACCCATGCACACGAAGGGAGAACATACAAACTCAACACAGTTGTGCTGTACGGCAGCAGCAGCAACCACTGAGCCACAGTCAGGCTTAGTTCAAATGTTATGGTGAATGATTTCCTGTACCTGAAACCAGGCTGAAGTTGAAGGAGATGTATAAACCAGCACTCCTGTCCAGCCCTCCCACTGAGGTTACTGTGAAATTCATCTCTCTCTGAGTGGACACAGTTACAGTCAGACATGTCTCCTTCCTTTTTTTGTCGTCTGTCCCACCTCCTGTCTCACGTCCCTGCTCCACAATATACCTGTTGGGCAAAGTGACCTGTATGGCCTGGTCAGGGTCCAGATCCCTGATAGGTATCAGCTGACCCTGAGGGGTGGTTAGCTCCATGCCGACGATGGAGGTGGAGATAGGAGGGTCAGCTGCACCCAAAACAACGTTGGACTTGAGTCCTCCGTCCATACTGAAGAGCACCTGCACAACCTCAGACCTCTGACTTTTCAGTTGAGCAGAGAGCGAGGTAGGGATGTGAAACTGACACGGTCCACCTGAGGGGACGGTTCCATTTTGAGGCGACCAGTTTGCCCTGCCAGAGCAGAGGAGGTCAGAAGGATCTCCTTGAAAACCAAGGGTGCTGAGAAAGGGGGAAGAAACCAAGAGAGGTTCTTCACCAGGAACCCGTGAATTCACCAGGGAGCGTACCAGCGCTCCCGTGAGGTTAAATGCTGACATAGCAATCGCTGAAGTTGATGGTCCAGAAATGGTATTAGCAGTTGATTCAGCATCAGACACAGCAGCTAAGGTGCTTCCTGGAAAGACAGAGACGGTTTAAATAAATCCTCAAACATCAGCCAGCGTCAGAGCCTTTAATGTACAAACGAGTGCCTGACAAGCACCTAGGATATTCAGGATGTTTCCTCCAGTTTCTGGAGCTGATACAACACCGGGACTCATCTGATCCTCCATCACACGGATCATTTTTTTCACAGCATCCAGAATCTTAGTGTGACATTCCCTACATCCCAACGCACCAGGGTCAACCTACATCAAAACATTATGAAAAATGTTAATAGTCAAAGGTCATCGGTGAAGAGAGAAGAGAATTCATCCGGTGTAGACTGACAGTGGAGACAGCCAAGGCTGAGCTGATCTGATCAACATCCAGCAGAGAAGATACAGGAAGTGAGGTCAGAGCATCAGAAACATTCCTCCTGATTTCCCCCATGTCCATCAGCTCAGCAGCAGACCGTCCAGACTGCATCTGTTAACGAGGGTGAAACCTAATTATTCCGCTTTTATTAAGTTCAAATCTGACATCCACGAGTCATTTAATCCTCACTTATCCTTTTGTCCCGTGGTGGAGAATAGCTAATTAATTTAATTAGCTTAAAGTGCCATCCAGGGGATGGGAATGAGAAAATAATGGCACTGACACGCTCTTACCTGATTGAGATGGCTGGTGAGGGCGATGCAATAAGAGGCAATCTCCTGAGGGTTGTTGTGTTGGACCAGAGCCCACAGCTGTGTCTGACTCTTGTTCCTCAGCCACTGGGTTGCAACTTCTTGCCTTATGGGAGTTCGGACTGTGAGTGATCTTGAAATTAGAAAAAAAAAAGTCAGGGATCCTGGATGGTACCAGTATGTTCTTATAAAAGGGAGTAAAGGTTAAGTGATTCCAAATCCTTTACCTGTTGAGTGCAACAGTCTTGGAGCCCAGTTGGTCCTCAATAATTAAAGTGACTGTAACAAGTGACTGGTTTTTGTCTTGGACAGAATGTCCCAGTGGAAGCAGACTCCCAAATGTTGACCGAGTCCCTCTGAAAAAAGGGCAAAAAACATTTATTCACTATATTTTAATTTCAGTTTTTTGCAACAATGGGCCAAATTGTTTCTTTTGGAAATGAAGTTAGAGAGGAGCCATGAATGTGGTTTTCATTTGGTTCAGGGTTGGTTTGGCGTAGTGCACTGTATTATAAGTAACCTTTTTTTGTTTGGTAAATAGCCTCTCAGCGGCTTTAAACTTTCAGGTCGCTACGGATGCCATTGTTATGGTTAGGAAACCAGGAGGAATCCAGGACACGAAGATGTTTCATGTACCACTAGGGGGAGATGGACTCAGATAGTATGGCAAGTGAAGCTCAGCATTCACCTGTACAGTGTGAGCTTCAGGCACTCGGGGCTGATGTACTGACATGGAGTGACTTGGAAAGTAAAGATCAGCTGAGAAGACTCGCCCTCATCATCCTTCCACCCTGCCCACAACAAAACATAAATAATAAAAACCTACAAAAAAGTCAAAAAGTAACAGAAACGTCTGAACTCCAGAGTATGCGTGGCATAGAGGTTACCTGAGCAGTTATAGGTGACCACTGTCTCCAGCAGATATATGTCTGATTCTGGACCGAGGTCACACAGACCTCCTCGTGGAGGGTTACTGAGACTGACAGTCTGACCAGCGCTGCCCCGCTGACCTCCCCCAGACTGGCTTACATCCAGAGTGAATGTATAGGTCAGTCCTGGCTGAAGGACACCAGAACGCACCACCAACTTCGGGGAATGACTTCCAGTTGTGGCGGCAATGTCATTAAGGTCAAAGGTCATGCCATTCTGGACTTCAACGTTCCATTTGTACTGTTGAAAGACAGGTTTTTTGGGTAAAAAAAAAAATCAAATGTGATTTTGAATGTGTTTGTGTCTGTTGGTTCTTATGACAGGAACTTTACCAGAGTCTGGTCATCACACTGTTCACACTGTCCAACCAAAATAAGGTCAGTGGAACCACTGGTGTAGCGTGAGGAGAGGGCAAAACAGGACACACACTTCACAGTAACAGGAAGCACTGGAGCCTCACACACAGTTACCTGGAGACAAAGGTGAAAGGTCAGAAGAACTCTCTGTTGATTCATAGGTTTAGCTGAATAAATTACTTGGTGGAGACAGCACTGAAGAGGAGATGAGAAGATTAGGAAACTCTAAGGTGGAATTTATTTCCAGAATCCAAGAGCAGGGAATGGGCAGCAAATAAAGTAACACTCACAGACTGGTTGGCAGATGCAGGCTCCCTGCCTGGTTTGTATACTGTGAGGGTGAAGGTGTAGACTGTGCCTGGGTGTAGATGGTTGTTGAGTACAGTCGCTCTGCTGCTATTGCTTCCAATGAGCTGCTCCACAAAGTTAGTGGAATTCTGCAAATGCAAAAATGTATAGTGAGCAGTGAAATACGTGCATCCTGAATGATCACGACTACACCAGAGACTGTACCATGTTGATGAAGGTCCAGTGGTACTGTAACATATCCTCTGCTCCTGGTTCCACATCAGGGTCTTCAGACTCAGATCCATCCAGGATGAGATCAGTGAGGCTGGACCACTGTTTGTGTGAACCCCCTTTGATAACAGGTACCAGTGGGGAATGTAGCACTGTGAGGTTAGCAGTCCGCTGGATAACTACAGGAGTTCCCTGGAATGAAACAGTAAGGAGGAGCCAGTACTGTCCTACGTCAAGAGTACGCTGTGGTAGGAAAAGGACCGGCGAAGCTCCATCCACAGGACTTGACCAAGTCATCCTATTTCCTCTGGTACAATCTGATCCTGTAAAGATCTCCCACTGATAGATGGTCTTGTAGGTGGAGCAGTTATTGTCCACGTGAACTTCGATCAGATTAGTTCTAGACCTGTAGATCATGAACTTCCTTTGACCAAGGGAAACCCCAGGGCTGGAACACTGGAGCTCCTCCACTTCAACGTCAGTCTGAGAGCACATGTGACTCACATTGTTGTAAACTTGTAGAGACACACTGTATTTCCCTGGACTGTAATAAACATGGCTGACAACCACTGTGTCTGTCGTCAGCCCTTCACTGGAATCACCAAAATCCCAGGTGTAACTGGTGTTGCTTCCTCCCTCAACTCTTGCAGAGAACTGGACAGTGTGTCCAACATACGTCCTCTTTGAATGACAGTGAAGACTGATGTTCCTAACTGGCCACTCCACCAGAACCTTCTCAGTCAGCACATGGAAGCAGCCGCCATTACTAGCTTCCATGCTAACAGACAATAAACCGCTCTCTTTGGGGGTAAACGTTACTTCCTGCCCACTGAGTCGTACAGGTTCCAGTCTATTCAAGTCAAAAGTCCAGGTGTGATTAAGTGGAGACCCACCTGGAACCACTGCTCTGAAGGTGAGTTCTTGAAGAACCTCCACCGCAGCAGAACAACAGCCAACAAGTTGCAATCCATGGATGTTTTCAGCGACCACTAAACTGGAGGACACCTCTGCACGACTGACCAGGTTCCGAGCTCGTAAAGTCACCAGGTATCTCCCAGCTGGAAGGCTTGATGTTGTGTACTGTGCTTGGACAATATCCTCACTGTGTATCCAGTCATTGTTTAGTAAAGTTAGAACAAAGCTTACATCACTTCCTGTGGAAACTGACGGAACAAAACTGACGTGTTCTCCATGACAGAGAGAATCCCTGCTAACACTGAGCTCAAGACCCGTAATTCCATCCTGAACTGTGACTTTATGGGAAACCATTTTCCAATTGATCTCATTGGAGACGTTCAACGTTACCTGGTATATGTCTGCACGAGAAAAGGTATAGTTAAATGTTTGATTTGTAGAATTTAAAATGTTGTCTTTGGTGTTTCCAACGCCCCAGTGCCAGTGCAGGTCACTGCCCGCGGGGGCCACTCCATGGAGTAAAACAGCAGCAAATGTGTCGATGTAAAATGGATGCAACTTTCCGTTGATTTTGAAGTCCACCTCTCCAACCTCCTCCTGGACCATGAACTCTTTGGTGTCATTGTTTTTGCTGAGAACATTCTGAACAACGACAGTGACAGGACGACTGCCCAGACCGGTGAAGTGGTAGAGAAGCCATGGTGCCAGTGTCTTCAGGGGCAACTGATCAAAGTCCACAAACCAGAGGTACTGGAGGTCTGACCCACTGATTACAGCTACGGAAATATTCACTGATTTCTCCAAAGCCACGATAGTTGAGCTTGCCGTAATACGCACACTTGAAACGCGTTCTACTGCTACCAGCAAAACATCGCTGCTAGCCTCACCCAACTGGTTGTGAGCTTTTACTCGAACCGACACTTCACCAGGGTTATCAACTGACAATTTGAATTTCTCCCCTTGACCAGTCATCTCCAGAGTTCTACCACTCTGTGTCACCAGCCACTGGAAGGTGACATTAGAACCTTTGGAAATTAGAGCAGTCAACTGTTGTTCCTCTTTGGTGGGTACATATTTCTTCTTTGTCAAGGTGAGACACGTTATCTGAAGACCTTGTATTCTTTCAAGGACTTGGATAATAACTGTAGCCTCCGAGCTACTGACCAAGTTCTGAGCTACAACCTTCACCTGGAATACACCAGCTACAGGAAAGGAACAGCTGAACTGGTCACTTCCCTGCTGGGTTGTAGTCAGTCCCTCAACTGTCCAGTAGTAGGTCATGCTACTGGTAACACTACTGACTGCTGTGATGACTATATCTTCCCCTACTGCAGCAAAGGATTGGTTGGTGTGAAGAGACAGGTCAGAAACTGGAAGGACCACAGACACTGTGACAGTTGCAGATGCTCTGCTGACCAAGTTGCTGGCTGTGGCCGTGACTGTGAACTGACCAGTGGAGGTGAAGACATGTGATACATTTTCCTTTTGCTCTGATGGAGACCCATCTCCAAAGTCCCACAGTACTGACACGTTGCTTCCGCTGCAATGAACAGTCCAAAATGCCACCGGCGTATTGGCTGTCAGAGAGTTCTCTTCTTGGATTTCATGCACCACAGACAGCTGACTCACAGGTTTTTGGATGGTGATGATGAACTTTGCTGTTCTGTCGCTGACTTGATTCCTAGCTTCCACTGATATCTCCTCGACACCTTCATCTCTGAAGACTAAACACTTCTCGGAGTTTCCAGTCGGGGCGCCAACCCTCAAGGAGGTGTTCAACCACCTAAACTGATAACCTGTCACCTGTTCGGGGGAAACTGACACCTTGAAGCAAACCTCTTCTCCAACTGCTGCAACGTCACTGGAAGCCTCCACTGTCACATCGGTTATTGGTGCTTCGACACAAATACTTGTGATAAAAGACGCTGATGAAGCAGAACTAAACACAGTCACGTTAAGATGGAAAATTCCAGGTTTTGGAAAATAATGAATAGTTTTGGATTTTCCAGTCACTACAGTCAGTGGTGATCCATCATCAAACTGCCAGTGGAAGGTCAACAGAGGTATGTTCCCCGTCACAACAGCTGCCATTTCCACATCTCTTCTATTCATGACACATTCTGTCGGTAGAATTTCTTTGATGGTCAGACTGTAGATCTCCACTTTGATGGACTCCTGAACTGTGTTGACAACATTAGAGACAGTAAGGACAGCAGTGTAATTTCCCGGAGACTTATAGACATGTGAGATTGAATCTTCTGTAAGATTTCCCAGCAGAAACCCATCACCAAAGTCGTACTCCCAGATGAGACTTGAACCTGTGGCAACCTGAGCTCTGAAAGCCACAGCAGAGTTGACTTCACCGCTGCCGCTGGAGCTCAGGCTCAGTCCTGAGATCTTCTCCATGACTCCCAGCATGATCCAGGTGGTTACAGTAGTCAGAGCGTTGTTGACACACACTGTGACGTTATAAAGGCCAGCAGATCCAAAAGTGTGACTGACTCTGTGGTTGATGCCTTGAACAGATTTGGATCCGTCCCCAAAATCCCAAGTATAGACCACATTATCCACAGAGGGTTCTACAGATGCTTCTAGAAGAAGTGAATGGTTGACAAGAGGCACTGGTGGAGCACAGGAAATATGGACCTGTCTGAGTAGAGGGTGGACATCGATCTTCATTGATGCATCGATGCTTTCATGTTGGTTAGAGATTTGGACTTGAAGTTTGAAGTCACCTGTGTTGAATAATGAGGGGAACGAGCCTTTAATTTATTCCACAGTCGTTTTTACATTGCTAATATTTAAGACATTGTCACACACTAGATTGTCATACACCAGATAAGGTTTTGGCCAACATCATGGTGTAGGCCAGGGGATGCTATGATGGGATTTCTGAGCTAGATTATTAATAACCTAGTTTATGTTTCATCCATAAAAAAATAGAGTTGTTGAATAATCATTCTGTTATCTTTGTTCTGTGTTTTCAGTTTTTGAGTTTATATTGTCTTAGTTTTTGTTTAGACTATAAGGGCTTTTATTTTGAAAGGGCTTCGCTGCAGTCATGCAGTATCGTAGGTGAAAGGAGTTAGTTAAAAAAATGTTTAAAGTTTTAGCAACCTTCCAAAGAGGCACAATGTTATTATTTCAGGTGATTTGACTTTACTGTGTTTTAATTTACATCTGAATTTTGACAATATCTGCTGATTGTTGTTAATTAAGTTAGCATTAGTTACACCATCATGACGTACTGTGTGGAGAAGTAGTTAATATCATGTATTTTTGTGTCTGTACCCAGATCTTAGGTTGTTGTTTTTTTTTTTCATTTAAACCTGAAATCATCAGTTCCAGTGTCAGACCATCTTTACTTCTGTGAGTTGGTTTCTACCTGGTTTGGTATACGTGTAGTTCACCGAGTCCTGGACGTACAGCTGCTTCATTCCTCTCTGCACAAGTCCCTCGGTGAGCTGACACGGGGCAGAGTGGGGGTGGTCAATCCTTTCATTGCTGTCCCCAAAATCCCACCTGTGGTACATGTACCAAAAGTAAAAAGGTTAAGGCCACAGACTCTGTCATATGTTAGCATGGTACTGTGTTCCTGGTGGATTATTGACATGCCTGAAGGTGACAGGCAGGGAGACGTCCACTTTGACTCTGATGGTGTAAAGATGTGTTGCATTCACAGCTACAACTCCCTGAACTGACAGGAACTCTGCCTCGGCCAGTGGTGTCATGTGATCAGCCATTAAAACCACCTGCTGAGTCTGGGAGCTGACAGGGTTTGATGCTGTGACCTTGAACAACATCAAATGATGCTTTATTCATTGATTTTTTATTCATAAAAGTATGACAAAAAAGGAGCAACTAAAGAGTGTGATGTCCTACCGTGACTTTATATTCAGCAGGGTTCCTGAATGCAACGCTGTAAGATTCACCTTCATAAGCAAACCTCTCCAGGTCGTCAATAACCCAGGTGAACTTCACCGAGGAACCAGCTTCAACTCTGGCTGTTAATAACTACAACGACAGGCAGACTCAGAAAGCTTAGGTGGCACAGGAGTTTAGCATTTAGCAGTTAGCTGAGACTCTGGACACAGATGTTCTTAAAGATGCATCTGTCCTAACTGCTCACCTGTGACGTGTCCACCAGCATCCTCAGACACCCACGTGGCTCCAGCCTCAGTCCTGTCACCGCCTCGTAGCCGTGCACTTCCACACTCAAACTCTCCCCAATCTCAGGGTTCACTGCGTCCTCCACCCTGATGTTCAATGTCTGAACCCCAACCACGGGCAACATAAGAGTAGCTGTGGAGAACCATTCATCACTGGACTGTTTACTACAGCCAGACCAAGAAAAGGCCAACTCTTCAGGACAAGACGGAAGAAATGGAACCCCAGTTTGGAGCACAGGGGCAGACCAGAAGCTCCTGGCCTTCTGTCCAGATCGTAATTTTACCACAATAAATGTCGGGACGTTGATTAGGACATGGATTTGATTGTGTTTGTCCAGCAGAGGGTGGATGACGCTAAGATCAAGTTTAGATCTTGAGTCTGGAGGTGGACTGGTCGCCGCAGGTCTAATATCAGGAGCTGTTGTTTCTTCTGTGTGGGTGAAGCCAAAGAGTCCGTCCAGCTCCGTACCTCTACCAAGAGTGTCAACATACGACATGCTCAGATCGCAGACCACCCCGTCCACCCACTGGTCTTTCTGGGATGATGGTGTGAGGCCTCCTTGCCACCAACCTTCCCATTCTGAGCCCTGGAGGGACAGGTAACTCTGGCGCCATGAGGAGTTTGAAGAGGCTTCACTGTCGAGGCAGTGGAGGAAAGTTCCAGAAGCACGGGTGTGCTGTATGGCTATGATGTCATCAGGGTAGACCATTATCTCTGCATCTGGGAGGTCCACCTGTTGAGGAGAGAACTGGTCACACTGGTGTGACTTGGATTTAGAATGACAGGAGAGTCAGTTAATGACTGATGGACTCACACTCATGGTCTTCACTTCAGAGCTCGGGTTGATTCTCAGGGAAAGATCTGCCACTATGTGGTAGAAAGGTGGTATGGCAGTGTATCTTGGGGGTAAGGCAAAACCTCTGTGTTTTGCTGCAGAATCGTAGGGACTACAGGGACGGGTGATGGGCACACAGACCTCCAGCAGGTGGCACCAATACAGTCCCACACTGCAGCCTCCGGTGGTGTTGCACAGCGGCACAGGTGAGCAGCAGCTGAATGGGTTGAGGAGAGAGCTGCAACCTGAGGAGCACAGAGAGGTTGGTGATCTTCAGCACTGATGTTTGGTGTCATCTTCTGAGCAGCTGCTTTACCTGGAGGAACCAGATAGTGGTTGGGGTCGCAGTAGGGACGGAGGATCTGAACCCGAGCCAGGGACAACTGGGGGCTCGGCAGAACCACCAGCTGGACTTTCACCAACTGACCTGCATGACTGAACCACAGCCCAGGGAACAGCTGCATCTGTGGAAAAAATAAACACCAAACAAACAAAAAACAGCAGGTTAAGATTTTGACTAATTATTTTGGTAAAACGACACCATACATTCAAAGTGATTTAGCTCCACATACTGTTACTTTGATCTATTCATCTGTTAGCCTGGTATCCAACAGACAAACCCTGTGTTTACACATGTATTAGCTTGTGTCCATGGCCAACATGACTAGCTCACGGCCCTTCAAGACTGAGTCACATATACCTAAGTATGAGCGACATCACAGTTGTCTCTACATTAGCTTCACTCATTGTGTGTTTTTTAGTGTCAGTGTTAGTACGTTTGGTGATACCAGCAGCTATTCTGTGATACTGCTACGTTGTACACCCTGTCATAGAGGTAAATAATCTCTGATGATTGATTATTGATCATGTGGTTGTTTCTGCTGTTGACTGACCTCCACTGTATGTGGTCCAATTTCTGGGACACTGAGGAGAGGCTGGATCTGAGTTTGATCATAGACGCCACTCAATAGAACCAGTCCAGTCTGGTAACTGTCTGCCGGTGGTAACGCCTCTGTGTTGGGAGCATGAGACAATAATATTACAGCACAAAGTCAAGTGATGTCAATGTCAAGACCTGTGGAGTGAAGGTCTTACCAGTCATGTCCGTCTCACACAGGTAGACGTGTTGTCCAGAGCACTTCTCTGTCCTCCACTGTCCCACTCCACCCAGTGCCATCTGAGTGCATCCTCCATTCAGAACCTGCTCTTCACTACCAAACCTCTTCAGCCATATCCACACGGTGGTTTTACTGAACAAAACACAAACACCACAACAGAACTCCTCAGACTTACTGTAAGCATCAAAGAGAGAATGGTCCAATCAGCTGACTGGTCCTCACACTCCACACTCACACTGGAAACGAGACGCGGATGAAGGTCTGTAGCTCCAGACTGTCTGCAGACGCCAGGTCCCCTCCTGGAGTTCCTCTGCATGAACGCTGTGCTTCAGACCAGGAGGACGTCTGCTCAGAGATCCAGTAACATCTCACACTGGACAAGTGGATCCTACCCCCCCGAGGACAGGGGGGCTCCGCTGGAGAGCACCAAAATATGAGCAGACAATAAGCAAGAATAGGAACGTGACATAAATAACTATGATTCATCAGTAATTTGGGAAATTGTATGTATTCTAACAGATGACTGGATCGGTACATCCAATAATTCTACCAACGTTTTCAAAGAAACTCTTGAGCACAAACATCGACCTGCTGTTATGGGCTTTTCTGATCCAGCAGAAAACTTTCTTTGTCATATTTTGTTGAGTGTTGATTTATCTGGTTTAATTGTGAATAATCTGGAGTAAATAAACATAAATGTAGCTTAAGTAAAGGAATTTTAGTTCCAAACAACAAAACATCAGCACAATGCCAAGGGTGACAGTGGAAGATGTAGCAAAAAATGTACTGTACATCAGAAACGGCTGCAGATTAGAAAAAAACATGTAAATCCTATTTTAGCCCCCATGATAGAAGATTGGAAAATAGCTTAAAGTTGACAAAAATACACTTTTTGCCCTGAAAAATAGTTTAGCCAAAAAATTAAATGTATTAACTGATTGTTAAATGTATTATCTGTTGAAAAGTTAAAAATAAGAAAAAGGCTGGTGTATTAAAAAATAACTGTACAAATGCCACAGTTGACATCTGGTTAAAACTGGTTTGTTTTTGTATGTTAATTTTTAAAAATTCAAAATGAGTGTAAAATCAACCGTCTCACCTTCAGCAGCAGCGTACAGGAGCAGAGACAGAATCCACAGTAGCAGCAGTTGCTGTTGCTTTAACCTGAGCCTGTCTGTCATTTTGTAGGATGAAAGTGATAAAACTACGAAGCAACAGTGAGGAAATCACTGCTCCACTGGAGAATCAAACTGTCCATCCTGACAAGTTAAGAGTCAAACTTCCATCTAATCCCAAACAACTTAAACCCAGTTGTTTCTGCCGCCTCCTTCACAGACACACACACCAACACAGACACACTCACTCCTGCAGGAGCAGGATGACTTATGGTGGCGTTGCCTCTCTTCCACACCCCCTCTCTCCCTGAGTGCCTGCCTGAGACACTTCTTCTGTCTCTGGGCAACAGTCATAAAGTCAGAGTGGACACCAGAGGCCGAGCTGCTCATTAGCATGTTGTTAAATCTCAATAGAAGCAGCCACAGTCATTAGGGCAGGTTAGTAAAGTGAATGATCCTGACACTGACCATTGTCAGGGACCAGGGTCTGAGGGTAAATGCTTTGGTTTCTCTGGGCGTTTAGAAAGATCCTGATCCAGGATCCTGGGTTCTTTTCTGGAGCAGTTGCACTGAAACCTCAGCGAGGACCGAACAAAGACTGTGTGACGCTCGGGCAGAGAAAAGAAGAAGAGGCTGAGTTGTTGAAAGAAAGGATGCCTTCTGTGTTGCCTGGAGAGAGAGCAGATAAAGGCTGAGGGCAGTGATAAGGTGGACATAGCTGAGGGATGTCAGTCTGTTGTCATGGAGACCATGGGAATTGACTTTAGCTTAGGAATGTAATTGCCTACTTCTAAGTCATTACTACCGTATTAGTCTAGTGGGGGAAAAAAATTAAAAATGACAAGACATTTTAAGGAAGAAAATCTACATAGAAGCATTTGATATAATTTTTTATCAACATTATATTGTAATTCATCACTGAAATTATTATTAAACCCGAATATGTTATTACAAAACTGAGGCTTCAATCTAAAAAAATCCTTACATACTAGTATGAATGCATTTTTCTCTTGAGTTTGCATTTTTTAGTATTTTGATTAATAATTATTTTAAATTCAGATTTTTAATATTTTTAGCTGACAGTTTTGTCATTTTCTCCTAATTGTTTATTAGATTTTTATGTATTAATTCTTTAAATTGATGAAAAAAAACTCGACGTGTGCGCAGCCGTTTATTGTTGCAACTATTAGACACTAGAGGGCAGCAGTGAATGTGTAACAACAGCAGCTACTACACAGGAAGAAGACTGAGCCGGAAAATGAAGACAACAGCTTTCGCTGACAGATCGTAGGTAAGCCGATTTAAGACGAAGATAAAAGGGCCGAGAAGCTTCAATATGTTGTCACAACTGGGTTGAAAGTGAACGAAGGCGATATTTACGACATTTACTGTGCAGTCGTACGTGGCATCGTGTATAAATGCGGTTGTTTTAGCTAAATATTCACCGATTTCCTCTTGATGGTGAGTCCTCCTAACTGTTAATATCAAATATGAATGGAGTGTAACGGGAAGCATACTGCCTTATACTGTAGCTCTGTTACAGTAATATAGAATAGAACGCAAATGAATTCAATATCAGCCGCTAGCTTTGGTTTTGCATTCGTTAAATGTACCAATCAAACACAGGATTATATTCAGGTTTGATTGTTGTTCGCTTTCTGTGATATATGAATGCCACCTTAGTCAAACTTTCCAAAACACACGTATATTTTAGACATCGAAGCATCAAACGTTAAATTGATGCATTTTTGTCACAAGGTTTTGTTTCAAGGACAACATTAAGGGCTTAATGATGTTGGGTGTTTTCCAGCAGGGAAAGGAAACAGGACCAGAGTGACGAAGTGGAATTTGACCTGCTGATTATTATTGATTCAACTGTGTGTATTATCATTAGACCACAGTCTCTCTGTGATGGGATTATAGTTATATAATATAGTCATGACTTAGGAATGCAACAACTTTCTTACATTTTGGATGCACCAAGGCTAACTGTCCTTAACTATTCATTCTATAGCGCTGATCTGAACATTGTCGAGTTCAGGCTGTAGAAGAAAGAACAAACAATGGTATACTTACTGACAAAACATATCGTAGCTACAGTACCCCAAACCCGTTAGCAGGACTGATATCTGGGATGCTGTAAAGCCATACTTCCTTCCTGTGAAAACCTAAACCAGGACACAAAATGTCTGACTTTGGGACAAAGCTAAATGTAATTTCTTGTTTGTTCATTCATTCAGTTCTTCGTCTGTACCTTTCAGCAGGTCCTATGCTCTCATTACGGACCTCTGAAGAAGAAGAATGTAGCTGTGAAATCTCCCTTCTCAGACAGGCAGTTTTACAAAACAATGACCAGCTCCTCAGTGAGATGCTCTGCCAAGAAATCTACAAGAAGGTCATCAACTGCAGAGGGGGTTGGGGCGTCGCAGGAACGCCGCTGCATGCTGCCGTGTCTAAAGGACATCTCAGCTGTCTGCAGGTCCTGCTCGCTCACGGTGCAAAGGTAGACTGCGTGGATGTCAAGGCCCAGACGCCACTCTTTGCGGCCGTTCGTGGAAAATACTTGGAATGCGTCTTAGCGCTCCTGAGAGCGGGCGCCAATCCCAATGGGAATTCCACCAACAACTGCTCCCCTGTCCTCACGGCAGCTCGAGAAGGCGATGTGGAGATACTGAAGGAACTGCTCAGACACGGTGCAGAGGTGAACTCACGCTCCAAAGTCCTGCTGTGGACCTCCAGTGCAAGGGTGTCCAGCGGGCCCCTGTACCTGGCTGCGGTTTACGGACACCTGGAGTGTTTTAAACTCCTGCTGCTGTATGGGGCCGACCCGGATTACAACTGCACCGACGCCAGACTGCTGAGTTCTATGAAGCAGCCCAAAACAGTTCTGGAGATGTGCCTGAGGCACGGCTGTGACGTGGAGTTCATCCAGCTGCTCATCGACTTTGGTGCCAACGTCTACCTCCCTACGCTGATCATAGAGAAGTCCACCAAACAGAATG